CTCCGCCACTCCATTCCGCGCCCAATGTCGCGACACTGCTGTAAACGTCGCCTCGAACTATCTAATCGCTCAGAGACTGCTCGGTAGCTTATCCTTGGGACTATCGCTTGATACTAAGTTGTGCCGTCTTCTTATCTCCTGCTTTGTCTCCTAGGCTAGTCGAACAAGCAGACATTCAGCTGCTGAATTAGAGCGGTGCTCCCACCGAGTCAGCTATGGCGTTGCCATCATCGTCCTCCTCAGCCAGCGGAAAGTTTGATCCTTCCGCGTATGCAGCCCTTCGTAAGGAGCAGTTCGCTAGGGCGAAGGAGCTTCGGGAAGCGCGCTCTGGAATGATGGGCGACAACAATCCGCGTATCACGTTCGGCCCGTCCATGGGTGCGTGATTGTAGCGATGACTCACCATCCACCTATTTTCATAGCCTCTAAACCCGCCACCCCATCCTTGAATCTTGCGGTTACGATATACTTGTGTTCTCGCGCGAGCTTGGCAAAATCACTAGGTGAGTCACACTATGCCGTAACTCATGTTCCAAATACTTTTTTCTTCTTCTTCACGTTTCCTTTTCTCCACCGCTTTCTTTGTTTCCTTGCCCTGACCGCAGCGTCCCAGACGTCGCCCGGTCTCACGCGGTCTCTGTCGTCTAGCGACCTCTCCCGTCGTCGCCACAGCGACGTGCCCAGACACCATTCGCCTCAGCCGAAGCAACGCACACCACACTACGCACTGCCGCTCAACCACGGCTCGTCCTTCTCTCATCGCAACTCTCTCGGTGGCACGTCCGGCCCTCTCAACGACAGTGCCGCCAGTTCTGTTTCCGCTTCCGGTCCGATGAAATCGCAGAAAGGGGCCTTCACGGGTCCTTCCCGGAACGGGCATGCGGAGGGGTCTTCCGGGGGAGCAGGCGCAAAGCGCAAGCCGCACGTGCGCAAGGACGCTCGCGCTGGCGCGGTAAACGGGGTGAAATCTATTTCCGCGCTGAACGACGCTTCCAAGTTTACCGAAGAAGAGCTCGCCGCATTCAGCGCCGCAGGTGCCGCTGCCGAGTCGCTTCTCGCGGAGGAGAACGGAATAACTGTTGCGTCGGAAGCGCAGGTATCAGTTCCGACTGAAGAAGTGGTGAAGGAGGTGACGCTGGAAGCTCCGGAAACGATGGTCTCTTCTGCTGCGGCGGCGGCGACGGCGGCTGGGAAGATCCCAGAAGGAACAGCGCGGCCGGAGGCTGACTGCGACGCAGAGCAGAGCAAGGCGACAGGAGGGGATGGCGAGCAGCGTAGGAGAGAGAGCAAGGGCAGCAAGGGCCTGTTCTCCCGGTCGTTCCGAGCATCTTTGCGCCTCCTACGGCGAGCACTCCCGAGCAACGGATTGGGCACCGGTGCGGGAGAGAACGAGGGCGGAGAATTGACTGGCGCGGAGGCAGGGAAGAAGACCGGCGAGCAGCGACGCTTGGAGCTGGATGATGTGAACGGGAACGAGGGTGGACGAGGAAATAAGAATGGCGGCAGCGGCAGTGAGGCGAAAGGGTCGCAGGGTGCATGGATGGAAGTGTTGCGTGCACCCAACAGCAGCAGCAACAGCACCGCGGGCCATGGCGGTGCTGGGTCGAGGAAGGACAAGGAGAATGTGCATCGGCTGGCGGTGTGAACGAGGAGTTTATGCATAAGAACTCCATGGAGCGTGGTGGTAGATTTGCGTGGCAGGTGGGCTTCTGTCCGGGGAGAAGCCAGACTTTTTATGAGTGTGTTCTGCCCACCCCCCCCTCCATTCCAGCCACGATCTGGATAAATATAGGGCATCATTAGCAAGGTTCGTGCATTAGAAATACAACCAGTTTGAATTGAGTCCTTAGGTATAATGTGGGGAGCGGTGAGATTAGAATGAGGGTACAGTTGATATAGTCATTCATCACCTTCTATCACTTGGTTGCTATATTTTTTTTATGGAGGTCAGAACCTTCATTCTTGCCTGCCACTGATGCTGAAAACCCACTCATTCATGGCTGATACACCTGTTGATTAAGTTGCTTTCGTACAACCTGCTCATTATGAGTTGTGCTGTCACACATCGATCGTTCACTTTTGGCATACACGCTAATCGAATCATGCAGTTACAAGGACATGAATTCAGGGACATGCTATTTTGTCCTTTAGTGCACTGTTTGACCGGGCGGCATCTCATGTCATCTCAAGTCAACGTGTCACAGTGTCAAGAATGCGGAGCCAAGTCTGTCAACAAGGCACAACAAAAAGCTGCGGGCCTGCGACGTGATACTGGCACCCGCTTCGCTCGGAGTTTCACAACCACAGCCAGTGAGCTCGCGAAGATCAGGTTTGCACCACGGATTTCGCGCAGAAGCGGCTCGTCTCGCGTTTCCCGCCAACAAGTCTTCAGCATCCGGGATTGACGGCCTTTCGAATGTCGTGCCATACAGTTGCCAGCATTCCTTGCACATAAGCGCCACGCACATACACCCATTCGACATGCGGTGCGACGGATGTGCCAAGCAGTGACCGAACCAGCCCATTCATTTGGGTCCGGAATCGAAAGTAATTTTCTTTTTGGGTGGGCCGTAAAGACCGATTTGTGTGGTGGTTGGTAACAGGCGGGCCTCGAAAATATTTTCCTATTCAAAACCCGAAACGCGGTCAGCGGCATTCATGCGCGATGGGGAAAACGTATTATGTTACAGAGAGTGCAGGCAACATGCTGCCATGCCATCCATCCCATACCATACCACACCGCCCGCCCACAGCATGATGCGGAGCTTGCTTTGAAGTCGGATGTACTGGCCGAGGAGGGACCAAGGCGAGAAGGGAGACCAGCGGTTGACTCGACATTCGGCTCCCAGCTTCCGTTCCGACATTTGTAGTGTAAAGAGCAAAATTCGGAATGCTGCAGCAGCTCCCGGCCAACTCCTCTTGTCAAGCATCACGTAGGCGGCAACTACAGCAACCGCGAGACTACCCCAAACCGAACCAGCCCAGCAGAAAGCCCCGAAGCGAGCGGGGCGGGGGGGTAGCCTCATCGTTCCTCCCTTCCCTCCCTCTTGGTGGCCCCAACGCATCACCAACTTTTCCAGTCCTTGCGCGTCATCCTGTCAGCCTCTCGAACCTCTAGCCTCGACATGACTGATCATCGTCATTCCTCCCGAGTCTAGAGTCCCGATGTCATCGCCTCTGGAACGAGCGCAGCAGCAGTAGCAGGCGCACGCTTCCTCAACAGCTTTCCCTCCTTTTCCACTCTCCCGCCCCTGTCTCTCGCCCCTGTCAGCCGAACCAGCTCTCTCCGCTCTCCTCGGCTGCCTCTCCTTCTTCCCTAGCCTCATAGTATCGCGTCTCCTGCATTCAGAATTCAGCATCATCATCCACCAGTTCGTACTCCCCCGTGTTACCAAGATCAGGAATTCGAATTCCTCTCTCTCTCTCTCTCTCTCTCTCTCTCTCTCTCTCTCTCTCTCTCTCCTCTCCCATCCATCGCATCATAGGATTCCGTCGGCCATGGCTAGCTAGTAGCCGCGCCGAGACGTCCTTAGTCTCGAGAAGCCCCCCTCCTTAGCTGCTCGTTGCGGGGGGCGTAGGACAACAGCAGGATGGCGGGCAGTGGAGGGGGTAACTGCAGCCCTGCTGCGACGGTGCTGGATCAAGTGGTTCTAAAGCTCAACCCCACAAGAACAAGGTTTAGTCCTCTCTCCCTGCTCTCCTTCCCTCAGCTCTTGCTCCCTGATTATTATTCGTTGCTCTCCGTTTCCCTCCCGACTCTCGTTAGCCAACCACTCTGGCTGATCCGCCTACCTCCATTTGATGCTGCGATCAGATTGCCGAAGCACCACGCGAGCCTCATGCTCGCTCTCGGCCAGACAATAGAAGAAAAAAGAAAAGAGAATAAAAGAATTTCGAATTTGCCCCAAATTCAAGAGAGAGACGCCCCGAGGGGTGAGAATTGGAGGCATGCAATGCTAGTGATGCCCGTACCCCGCGGCCATAACGCCGGGCCGTTACTCTAGCCATGTTTACGGTTATCGTTACCGCCCCCTACACCTGATGCGCCCCTACCAGCTATCGTTTGCCGCTATGGTTACCGACACCTGATGCGCACGGCTTCCGGGTTCGGCGCACTCGTGCCCTGCTGAACCCGTCGCTCTCCTCCTACCGTCATCGGCTCTCCGATTCTTCCCCTCTCTTCCTGTCTCCCCCTCCACCCCTCTCACTCCCCACACCTCTCCCCTCTCTCACCCTCACCCTCTCTCCCACTCACGGCCTCTCTCTCACTCACGCCCTCTCTCTCACTCACGCCCTCTCTCCCACTCACGCCGTCTCTCCCACTCACGCCCTCTCTCCCACTCACGCCCTCTCTCCCGCTCACGTCGTCTCTCCCACTCACGCCCTCTCTCCCACTCACGCCGTCTCTCCCACTCACGCCGTCTCTCCCACTCACGCCGTCTCTCTCACTCACGCCCTCTCTCCCACTCACGCCGTCTCTCCCACTCACGCCGTCTCTCCCACTCACGCCGTCTCTCCCACTCACGCCGTCTCTCCCACTCACGCCGTCTCTCCCACTCACGCCGTCTCTCCCACTCACGCCGTCTCTCCCACTCACGCCGTCTCTCCCACTCACGCCGTCTCTCCCACTCACGCCGTCTCTCCCACTCACGCCGTCTCTCCCACTCCCTCTCTCCCACTCACGCCGTCTCTCCCACTCACGCCGTCTCTCCCACTCACGCCGTCTCTCCCACTCACGCCGTCTCTCCCACTCACGCCGTCTCTCCCACTCCCTCTCTCCCACTCACGCCGTCTCTCCCACTCACGCCGTCTCTCCCACTCACGCCGTCTCTCCCACTCACGCCGTCTCTCCCACTCACGCCGTCTCTCCCACTCACGCCGTCTCTCCCACTCACGCCCTCTCTCCCACTCACGCCGTCTCTCCCACTCACGCCGTCCCTCCCACTCACGCCCTCTCTCCCACTCACGCCCTCTCTCCCCGTGCAACGCCCAACCGTCAGATGCGAGGTGGTGACGTCGTCAGCGGGGCGAGTGGAGGTCGTATGCGTCGCACTGCTGCGCCCGCTCGCGCAGCACATCGAAGCGGTGGAGCGCGAAATCGCCGCGGGCGCGCACGTGGTGATTATGGACCCCCGCCAGTGCGCGCCGTACCACCGCCTGTTCCGCGCGCCGTTCGTGAGTAACGAGGACGCCGCCGCCGCCGCCGCCGCCATCGCGTGGTTCTCCAAGGGCACTCTGCAACGGTGCGTCCACTTTCGTTGCAACCCCGCTCGTTTCGTTTGTTTTCGTCAATCACTATGCTTCACTCCGCTACGCTACGCTTCGCTTCGCTGCGCCGCCGCCGCCGCCGCCGCCGCCGCCGCCGACGATGACGCTAACGCTGCCATTTCCGTTCCGTTCCGTTCCTTGCCTGTTTTACGTTTCCGTCGCTCTGGCAGAGTGCTACGCTTCATAAACTCGCCCGCGCTACTGGAGCAAGCCGTGGCCATCACACAGGAGATCACGAGCCTCACCAAGTCCCTGCAGCGCAGCACGCAAGTCGACCTTCACGACGCTGCCTGCATGGTGCGCTCTGGTCCCGTCCCTTGCCTTGCGCTCACTTTCCTTGCATCCCCTTATGTCCGTCCGTCAGTCCGTCCTTCCTTCCGTCTCCGTTTATCTGTTTGTCCGTTCCTTCTGTTTGTTTTTTTTCCCACGCGATCATGCTGTGTGCGGGTAACGGATTCTGCGCTGCCGCATTCCCCGCCGCCACTCTTTCCTTGCACATGTGTGTGCTGCTGCCATGTGGCGGCACATCATTCTCCCCTCTCCCCTCTCTCCTCTCACCTATTGCATCTTGGCTCCTGCGTTTCTTTGTGTCCTGTCTCTCAACCCCCTTCCCATTTCCTTCTCTCCTCCCTTCCCTTCCTCCCCTCCCTTTCCTTCGTGGCGGGGCGCAGCTTTCTGACAAAGCGCAGCTTCCAGGAGGTACGAACGTCCACATGCCACGTGGCACTCCACGCATCCTCTGTTTCCTTCCTCGTTACTTGAACGCGTTTCTCTGTTTGTGCTGGCCGAATTACTTCATCTCCCAACTTCTTTTTGTTCTTCACGTTTCTTCCTGCCATTTCACATCCCCCCTCTCCCTCTCTCACACCACGTTCCGTTGTCCCCGCTCCCTTTTACTGCCCTTTCCCCCCATCGCCCGCCACCAGACCCCCCCAGTGGCCGCAGCAGCCGCCCCAGCTCCCCCTGCCGCGTCTCCCCGCAGCCCGTGCGCGCGCCACGGTCGTCGTCGCGCTCCTCGTCTCCCATCCGAGATCAGATGCGGGTATGCCTGTCACATCCCTCCCTCCTTCCCTCCCTCCCTCCCTCCCTTCGTCCCTCCCTCCCACCCACCCACCCATCCATCCATCCACACACGCACTTTGAGACTTCGCCTGCTCCCCCGCTCACTCACCCTTCTTGGTTTCCGCCCTGCTCTCCACTCCCCACCATGCCCCTCCCCCTGTTGCTCTCCGCACCCTGCTCTGGTGCTCGTCAGCCTGCTCCCCATCTCTTCCTTACTGGCTCCCTGTCCTTCCTTTTTTGCCTTTCTTCCCGTCTCCCCTTCCCCTCCCCTTCCCCTTCCCTCCCCATCCCCCTCCTCTCCTCTCTCGTGCAGGCACTGGGGGAGCTCGAGACGGCAGAGACCAACGCCGAGCTAGTCGAGTAAGGAAGCCTGTTTGCTGTTTTGCAGCCATGCACGCGTGCGAATGCATGCATGCGTGTTGCTCTCGTCTGTATGCGCCGCTTTTGTTCTCCCTGCGTGCGGGCGCTGCTGCGAAACCGCTCTCAACCGCCTCGTGCCCCGTGTGCTCACTTTTGTGTCCCTCTGTCTGTTCCCTCCCTCACTCCCCCTCCCCCACTCTCCCTCACTCTCCCCCACTCTCCCCCCCTCCCTCCCTCTCTCCCCCCTCCCCGCGCGCTTCCGTAGGCGTCTCCGCCGGGGCGTGGAGGCGCGGCGCGGCATGCTGAAGCGCGAGCGCGAGGTGGCAGTGGCGCGGTCGCAGGCAGCGGGCTTCACGGCGGACCACCTGCCGTCGCTGCTCGCCTTCACCGACTGCTTCGGCATGCCGCGCTTCCGGTGCGCCGCGGCACGGGGAAGGGGGGAAGGGTCGGCACGGGGGGAAAGGGGAAAGAGGGGGAGGTGGAGGGAGGGAAGACTTGAAGGATTAATTGGGGGAAAAAAAGGGGAGAATGGGATAAGGGGAACAGGGAAGGGTTCGTGGTGATTGTTCGCGTCCGGCTTCTAAGTCGCGCCTCTTCTGCTCCTGTCTGCTCTCCCTTTTTCTCCCCCTACCCACTGCCACACCCTCTCCCCCTCTCACCCTCTCCCAATTCCTCGTTTGCTGACCCTTTCCCAATTCCCCTCTTCCCTCGTTAACTCTTCTCCCGGTCCGCCCACTCCCGCTTTCCCCCGTCCCGTCACTCCCGCGTTCCCCGCTGCAGGTCCGCCTGCGTCTGTCTCTTCTCGCTGCTGCGTTTCCACCAAGAAAACGTCTCCCCGCGACCCATGGCGCACGTCACGCCGACGCTGCCGGGAGACGTCGTCATGCACACCCAGCGCCCCGCGTCCCCCGTCCCCGGCGGAAGCTCCTCCGCGCACGGGGGGTGGGCGCTAGCCACGCTCGTGCGCACGGCCAGCGGAAGCTCGGCGGGATTGCGCGAAGGCGGCGGAGGGGGGCTGATCCGCACAATCAGCGGGGACTTCAGCAGCGGAAGAAGCAACAGCGGCGGCTTTGGCGGCGGCCTCGCCGGGGGCGGCGCTGGAGCGCTGACGAGCCGCAGCAGGAGCGCGAGCCCCGCACCCGGCGCAAGATACGGCGCGGAGAGGGAACGTGAGCGGGAACGGGAACGGGAACGCGATCTGGCGGTAGCGCTGGAGGAGGAGAGAGCGAGCGAGCGGGCGGGGCGGGAGCGGGAACGGGAGCGGGACATGTATCATTCTCACGTTTCTCATCAGTCTCTTCATTCTCAGCTTGCTCATCAATACCATCACGAGCGCCAGCGGTCCTTGTCGCCGCTACCTTCCTCTGCCTCTGGCGGTTCGCCTTCTGCGTGCGCGTCCTTCGGCACATCTTCCGCCGCGTCTCCCGGCGCGTACTCGTACGCCGCGCATCGCTCCCTGATTGGTCGCGATGACGTGGACTCGCTCGACGGGTTCTCGCTGCAGCACTCTGATTCGCTCTCGTCGACGGCGTGCATGCTCGGTGCGCTTGCGCCCAACAGCCCCCGCTACGGCGGCTCCCCCGTTTCCGCCTCATCCGCCGCCACTGCGGCGGCGGCGGCGGCAGCTGTGGCGGCTGCGGCCGCTGCCGCAGCGACGGGTGGTCCCCAGTCCCCCCGCTCCGCTATGTACGCGCAGATATTGGCGGGAGTGCGGCAGCAGCTGGCGGCGCAGGGAGCGCAAGGCGGTGGCGCGGCAGGCGGGGGAGGCAGGCTGGGCGGCGGGATGCCGCCGATGGGGGGAATGTCGGTGCACGATGTAGCTGCCGCCGCTGTCGCTGCTGCCACTTTAGCTAACCAGCAGCACCAGCAGCAACAGCAGCAGCAGCAGCAGCAGCAGCAGCAGCAGCAGCAGCAGCAGCAGCAGCAGCAGCAGCAGCAGCAGCAAGCAGTGGCGGCGGCGGCGGCAGCGGCAGTGGCGGCAGCAGCAGCAGGAGGCGGCGATCTTCAGGCAATTCTCTCAAAGATCATTCTGGCTTCGTCGGGCACGTCCCCGTCGCCGCCGCACGCGCTGCCACTGCTGCAGCAGCAGGCGCTACCGCAGCAGCCGCAGGCGCAGCAACAGGCGCAGGCGCATCAGCTGTACTCCACGGGTCAACACGAGATCGCGCACGTCCCCGCAACAGCAGTACACCCAACCGCCGCCGCCGCAGCCGCTACTGCTACACGTGCTGCTGCTGCGCCTGCTCCTGCTCCTGGTCTTGGCAGTGCTGCTAAAGGCAGCGCATCTGGCGCGGATACGACCGGCGCGAAATCGGACGGCGTGGGAAGCGCGCTTAAGACAGGTAATACTAGCGGCGAGAACGCTAATTCCACAAACTGCGTCGCTAAAAGCGGCGGCAATGGCGACGGCGGCACCAGCGGGAGCGGGGGTAGCCGGTGGAGGCAGCCGGCTCGGCGCGCTGCGCGCGGGCGAACTGAAGGGCGCACGCTGGTTGGCGGCGCACGGATCGGCGGCAACGTGGCAGGCGGTGGCGGAATGGCGGGGCAGGGGGAAGCAGCCGGGGCAGCAGGCGGAAACGGCGACGGGCAAGTGGCCGAGGTAAAAGGGAGTGGTGGCACTAACGGCAACGGCGGCGGCGGGGGGGTCGGGGGTGTGAACGTGGCTGTAGGTGATTGCGGAGCGAGCGGCGGCGCGTTTTGGCCTTCGGGCGCATCGGACGATTCGGACTCGGGAAGCTTCTACGGCCCTGCTGCTGCGGAATTGGAGACTGCCGCGCGCGCAGCTGCGGCGGCGGATGGTGGGGGAGGCGGAGCGGAAGGGGGAGGGGGAGGGGGAACATTTGCGGGAGCTGTATCAGGGACAGAGGTGGCGGAAGAGAAGGGACTGTTGTCTGATCACAGCGCGGGAGGCTTGTCGCACAGCTCGCACAAATCGCACGGATCGCAGAGCTCGAGCGGGGACCTGCGGAGCTTCGCAGGTGGCGTGTTTCTCGGGTCGTCGTCGTCGTCCGCGCGCGAGGACTGCAGCGCAAAAATCGGCGGCAGCAGCGGCGGCAGCAGCGGCAGCAGCAGCGGGCCCAGTCGCAACAACAGCAGCGGCGGAAGCGGCGGGGAGAGCAGCAGCGGCGGAGATTCCTCCGCGGAGTCGGAAGCCGCCGCGGCGCTGCCCGTGTCTGTGGCGCGGAGGTGGCGCCGAGCGGGCGGAAGGTCGTCCCCCGGCGGATATCGGAAGAGTCTTGGGGGGAGTTCTGGCGGAGCTTTTAGGGAGGAAAGCGGAGAGATGGAGCAGATGAGTCTGGATGGCGGTGGAGTTGGGGAAACCGTGCTGCGCAAATCTCCTCTCCCTTCTCCGCCTCGCTCTCCGCGCGCGGTAACAATTACGCCAGCGCTTTCGCTGCCGTTCGACTCGACGGATAGTGCCGGAAACTTTGGCGGAAAAGGCGCTGGCGCGGGGGATCAGACCCCAAGGGGGCGAAGCGTTTCCCCAGTGGCTTCCCCTTCCGCCGCGCGTGAATGGGCCGCGTGGACGAACGATTGGTCGGGAACGAGCAGCATTAACTCGCGAAACAATTCGCGAAGCCCATCGCCCAACCCTGTGAAGAGTCCCAACCCCGAGTCTGCAGGTTCGGACGGGTCACCCAGGTTTGGAAGCGCGCGAACCTGGGGGTTTGGTGGTGCGGGTTCGGCGGTGGGGGGAAGGAAGATTCAACCCACAGATGCTACAGTGCGGAGTTTTGCGGAGTGGATTGACGTGAAAAAGGGTATGGGGGTGGAGAAGGGAGAGGAGGGAGAGGGAGGAATGCACGAGGGAGAGAAGGGAACAGAGATTATGGTTGGGAATGGCGAGCAAAGCAGCAAGGGAGGTGGGCGGGAAAAAGAGGAGTGGAGGAAGCAGGGATGGGATGGGATGGAGGAGAGAGGAAGTGGAGAGAGGAAGAGTGGTGGTGGGCGTGGGAGGGAGGAGGGGAGGAGCAGCGGTGGAAGCGGCAGCGACAGCGGTGTGGAAGGGGGCAAGGGAGGGGAGGAGGATGCGACTAAGAGGCTTGTGTGCAAGGTACGGTGGGGGGAGTCTGTGTGTGGGTGGTGATGTAGCGCTTGCTGGTGGCTTGGTGGTGGCCTCTTGTCGCTCTCTTGTCGCCCGCTTGTCGCCCTCTTCCATGCCTTGCTCTCTCCCTCAACTCTGATTCTGTCTGTGTGTGCATGGTGTGCGTGTTTGTGTGCATTTGCATGTGTATGTGTATGTGTGTGTGTGCATGTGCATGTGTATGTGTGTGTATGTGTGTGCATGTGCATGTGCATGTGTATGTGTGTGCATGTGTATGTGTATGTGTATGTGTATGTGTATGTGCATGCGGTGTGCTTCTGCATTCTCCTGCCACACACCAGGTGAAGGAATCTGCCTCACATACCGACACCAACAGCAACAAAGACATGCAGCAGCAGCAGCAGCAGCAGCAGCCCTGCACCCCTAAACCCAGCCACCAGCACAGCACCTCGGTCTCCCCCTCTTCTCCCCTGCTCCCCCCTTGGTGCTACTCTCCCCGCAAGTCCTCACCCTCCCGTCCCTCCTCACTCCCCTCCAGTCCCCGAGCTCCTCCTTTCCTCCTCTCCCCATCTGCTGGAACAGGAACAGGCGCAGCGGCAGCAGCTGCTGCAGTGATAGCTCGTACGGTGATGACCCCCCCAGCTGTGGCAGTAGAGCGAGTGGCGTCTACTGCTGTGCTCTCCCTGGGCACTGTGGAGATGCCACGCAGATACGCCTCCCCCAGTAGAAACCCCTCTCCTTCGAAACGAGCAGCAGGAGCAGGAGCAGGAGCAGGAGCAGGAGCAGAAGCAGCACTACCGGGCCTTGTGCGGTCCCTGTCCAATGCATCTACCAGCTCTAGCTCTAACAAGAAGCCTCTTGTTCCAGACCCAGCACAAGTCGCAGCAGTGGCTGCGATTGCTGTGGCCAAGGCACAGGCCACTTCAGCAGCGGCAGCTGCGGCAGCAGCACCAACCACACAAGCGGCTGTTTCTTCCTCTGCCTACTCCTACGTCCCTGCCTCTGCCACTGCTTCTGCCTCCGCCTCTCCCTTGCCCTCTCGCCTGCCCATCCGCCCCTCCCCTCCTTCGTCCCCCCGCTCCTTCCTGCTCCCTCCCTCTCTGCCCTCCACCCTTCGTCTAGAAAGCCTCTCGTCCTCGTCCCCTTCCTCTGCTGCTGCTGCCAACGGTAAGTTCCCTCTCTCCCCCTCCCCAACATCTCCTGCTGCTACTGCTGCACACACCAAGGGAACTGCAGCTGCTGGTGCTGCCGCTGCTGGTGGTGCTGGTCTGGCCCCGATTGGAACTGGTGTTGGTACTGGTTCCGTGCTTTCTATGGCAACAGATAGCCCCGTCCCTGCATCCTCTCCAGTGACTGCCTACCTTATGAGAAAGCTTGGTGCATCGGCTGCTGCTGCTGCCACTGCGGCTGCCGCCGCTACTGCTGGTGCCGCAGCATCCCCTGCAGCGCCCCCTGTGACTGCCGTTTCTGGTGGTGGTGGTGGTGGTGGTGGAGAAGGGGGGGGAAAGCAGCAGAAGCAGGGGGAGCAGAGGTCTATGGAGAAGCAAGACAAGCATAGGGAGCACTCTGTTGATCACCAGCCGCAGCCGCAGCAGCAGCAGCAGCAGCAGGCGAGGCAGCAGCCAAAGCCGCTGCATCAGCGCAATGCCAATGGCAGCGCGTGGGAAGGTGCAACGGCGGGAGGAGCAGTGGCTAGCAAGATTGCTGTGATTCTGAAGAGCAACATGGTGAGTTCTGGTGCTGGTGTTAGTGACTGGGCTGGTGCCAGTGCTGGCGGCGGTGCTGGTGGCGGGAGGGGTGGTGCGCAGAATGGGGTTGATGGCACTGGGAGCAATGTGGGAGGGGGTGTTGTTGGAGCGGCAGCAGAGGCAGCAGGAGCAGGAGGGGGAGCAGGAGCAGGAGCTGGAGGAAGCGAGCATGGGCATAACCACCGCCGCCATCACCATCAGCACCAGCATCGCCGTCACAGTAGTAGCAGCAGCGGTGGCAGCAGTGGCGGCAAAAGCAGCAGCAGCAGCTATCCTGTGCGAACAGCAGCATCAGCAGCACCACTATTCCCCTCATCGCCCCCCTCACCTTCCTCCTCCGCCTCTTCCTCCACCTCCTCCTGTGCTTCGTCCAACCATGCCCCCCGCCGCACCATCACCCGTAGCGCCACTGCTGCTGCTACTGCCAGTGCTCCTTCTTTTGCTCATGCCAGCAGCAGTACCACTAATCATGGGAGCAGCAGCAGCAGCAGTGGTAGTGGTATGGTGCGCAGCAGCAGTGGAAGATCAGCAAAGTTCACGTCCCTCCCCACGCTGATTGAGGCAGACAGCTTTAAGGAAGGGCTTACTGCCTCTGACGTCCCTAGTGCCGCAGCTGCTGGTACTGCTGCTACTGCTGCTACTTCTGCTGCTGTAAGGAAGGGAGACAAGGCGTCTCAGGTGGTGGCTGAGGAAGGGAGTGGGGGCAAGGCAGGGGGGCGGAAGGGCAGTGGAAAGAGCCGGCGTGTGCGGAGCAAGCAAGAGGTGAAAGAAGGGACTGATGCTTTTCAGGCCTCCTCCCTTGTTTCCGGGAATGGTGCCCTTGTGATGTTCCCAACCTCTCCGACCACTGGTGCCGGTGCTGCCTTTGCTCCCTTTCCTGCCTCTCCTTCGGCTTCCTCGGCTGGAGGTTTGGATTCCGAGGCTGCGGCCGCTTCACCGAGCCTGTGCTCACCAGCAGCAGGGAAGGCAGGCGGGAAGGCAGCAGGTGCAGGCGTGGGGAAGAAAAAGGTGCCTGGTCTGAGCAGCAGTGTGTATGCTGGAAAGAAAGTCTCGCGCACGGCTGCTGCTGCTGCTGCTGCAGTTTCTGATGGCTTTGAGGGGGAGGCTGTTTCTGGTGCAGGCTGCAGCTCCCATGCAGATCAGGTGGTGGATCAGGGGCCTCAGGGGGCCTATGGGCCTCAGGGACCACTGTCAGCAGCAATGGTACTGACAAATGGAGAAGTGATTGGTGACGTCGCTAGCGAGCATATTTACCAGAAGAATGAGCAGCAGCATCAGCAGACGGTGGTGATGGGCCTGGGGAAGGAGCAGGAAACGCAGCAGCAGCAGCAGGAACAGCAGCAGCAGCAGCAGCAGCAGCAGCAGCAGCAGCAGCAGGAGCAGGAGCGAGTGGTGGAGGAGCAGGTGGAAGAAGGGGGGCAGAAGAAGGGCGGGGGGCACAGGAGGCACGGAAGCAGGTCGCGTGGGCTGTCTCCCCTGAGAGGTAGCTCTGTGGCTTCCATGGTAGGCGGTGCCATGGCCTTCCTTGTCCGCTCCACTAGCAGCTCCTCTTCCTCCCGTGCCCATGCCCATGCGCATGCACATGTGCATACCCATGCACATGCTGCCCATGCCCATGCCCATGTGCACGGTGCCTCTGCTTCAGCTTCTGCTTCAGCTTCGGCCCAGTCTCCTAGTGCAGGTGTGGGGGCAGGTCTTGACGTGCCGGGTGGCGCTCCTTCTCCCAAGTCCCCTGCTGCCTATGCTGCTGCTACTGCCACTGCACCTGCCGCCGCCGCTGCAGCTGCCACAGCTGCAGCAGCAGCCGCTGCTGCTGCCTACCGTGCATCACCTGCCGTCCCCTCCTTCAGTGCGGCGCACCAGGGGATGACAGTGGCAGCGCCAGCGCCACAGCCACAGCCACAGCCACAGCCACAGCCACAGCCACGATATACGGTGTCAGAGCCTATCAAAGGAGGAGTAGGTGCAGTGTGTGCTGGTGGGCGTGACGAGGATGGGGAGGATTATGAGAGCGACGCGGAGAATGAAGCGGTTAGTAGCCGTATGATGATGGTGGTGCCGCGGGGTACCATGGAGCTAGGCCTAGCAGCACCAGGGCCAGCAGCAGGGCTAGCAGCAGCAGCAGCAGCAGTGGCGCCACCTCACAATGCTGCTCTTTCTGTGGTTAGGCCCCCGTCGCCCCAGCTCACTCTGCTCTCCCAGCCACCTGGCTACCTGCGCTCTCCAGCTCCCAAGACAGGCACTCCTCTTGTTGACCTGCCTCCTGTTATTGTCACAGACATTTCAGCTACACACGGTGTGCTGCCTCCCCCCTCCCCCTGCACTCCCACTTCCGGGAGCTTTGGAGGTAAGAAGTCGGAATTTGGGGGGGCAAGGGTTGCACCAATGACTCATTTCCGGGATGTGTTATCAGCACAGCAGGTTGGTGAAAATGTGGGGAATGTTAATGCTGGTTATGGCCATGGTTATGGTGTGACAGTGCCTGTGTCACCAACACCAGCACCTGTGCCAATGGCTTCATGGAAGTCTAAGGCTGTGGCGTCATCGCCTGCTACACCGTCGCCGCATGGGAAGGTTTCATCGACCAAGTCTGGGCAATCCACGCCTGAAAGTGGCCGCAAGCAGCGCCTTTCAGCGCTGCGCAAGATGTTTGGCCTGTAGATGGCGAGATACTTATGGATGGATGTTTGTTGTGGAGTGTTGAAGGTTTCTTTTTGGAAGGAATGCATCTAGAGAGACTTCGAAGGGTGGATTATACGCGTGGTTTATACTAAATGTGTTCCAAATATTAAATAATACTGGTGTGGTTTTTATATCTGTGCATCAAGGTCTTGATGCTTTTATTCTGCAACATTACAAAAGCATATTAATCCACAGTCACGACTGCGGATGTATCTATAGTTGATAATATATTTACACCCCAAAAAAAAGCATATTAATCCAAACATATTGCGTGAGACTTCTACCGCGGATACATTGGGATTTGTGTGCAACTCTCTGCACTTGCTGCTCAACTTCTGATCCAATCACTCTCCGTTCGAATGACTGGTTCTTTCGATTGCGAGTTCCATCCAACCCACAGAAGCACGAGTCCGTCCGAAGCGTGAGGGAGCAGTTGAATGCGAGCAGCGTGAACGTTCTGTATTAGAGCGAAACGACCGTTGGAAAACGCGGGTAGAGTGTCGTCTGTGTATCTCTCGAGCAGACACCGTACAGTCTTCAGCCGCCGGAAAACTTTACCATTTCGTCTTTAGTCTCGATTGGCAATCACCATACAGCCGCGAGCAAACACCACAGATCTTTTCGCCGCGACCGAATTTGCATAAGGCTGTGAGAGTTTGCATAAGACCGAATTTGCGAAGAGCAGAGCAGGCAGGGAGCGATGGAGGAGCCGAGTCTGGACGAGCTGGAGTGGATGGCGCAGCAGGCCATGGCGGGCGACGATGGCGGCGAGGACGCCGACGACTGGCCGTTCGAGGAGCCCCCGGACGACGACTGGCGCGGCCAGACGGCCGGCGGACGCGGTGAGCGGGAGAGGGGAGGCGTGGGGACGGGATAAATGGGAGGGAATGAGGGGAAGTGCGGGGATCAGTGAGATGGCTCCACGGGGAATGATAATAGATCCACGTGCTGTACTGACGGACGGACGGACGGACGGACGGGCGGGCGGACGGATGGACGGACGGACGGGCGGACGGATGGATGGATGGATCAGCAAGTTGGGCGTTGTTTCGAAGAGTGCCTTAGGGTGTATATGATGTGATGCGACCAGGCGTTGGTTCAACTTCAGCTGTGTTAAGGTTGCGTTCGAGAGCTGAGTTCTCGAAAACAAGACTGGCAAAGGAGTAACGGAATGACCCGACATAGGTGTCTGATGGTTTTGCCATGACGACGCCACTTGCTCTTGGGATTCCCTGTACCTCAACTACCACGCTTGTAGTTTCGAGACGGGCGTCCCCGCACCTCCACTACCATGCTTTGAGCTTCAAGACGTCTCAAAAGTACTTGCTGTGGCGTATTCTTGCCCTGGTCCGTCGTGGTTTCCACACTCCCGGTGCAATGGGAGGTACAGGAAGGCTTCACACGCCTCCTCCCTCACTTATATCCTGCCTTCTTGTGCTATCTCCCCACGAGGTGACTTTTGAGTCGACTCAAAAGTCACCTCGCTGCCTTCTTGTGCTATCTCCCCACCCCGCTTCTCCCCCCACTTCCTTGCTCCACTCCTCTGCTTCCGGCTCCCCCTCTCCCCTGCTCCCTGCTCCCCTCTCCCCCGGCCCTACGCGTCCCTTCACCTTTCCAGGCACGGCAGCACCTCCACCGCCACACACATTCGCCCCCCCACCCCCCGCTGGCGTGCAAGGCATGGCAGGCGGAGAAAGAGGGAAGGACAGTTCATGGGGTGAGGTTGTAGATAATTCGCGAATACCTGCTGCGGGCTGGCCTGCGGATAGGGTTGCTGGTAAGGCGACAGAGGCAGTGCGTGGGGGAGTGGCAGGAGGTGCAGCAGGAGAAGAAGCCGAGGGTCGAGAGGGCATGGGGGGAAGAGGAGGAGGAGGAGGAGGAGGAGGAGGAGGAGGAGGAGGAGGAGGAGGAGGAGGAGGAGGAGGAGGAGGAGGAGGAGGCGATGGTGTGAATTCGAGTATTCCACAGAAAGCTGCGTTCCCGGAAGCAGCAGCAGCAGCAAATGAAAAAGCAGCAGTACCACCGCCACCATCAGCAGCAGCGGCAGCGGCGGCGGCGGCGACAGCCAAAGATGAGAAGGCAGCACGGCGAGTGGCAGCAGATGTGGAGGGCGAGGTGATGCCCGTGACAGGCAGCGATGGGCAGCGCGTGTACTGCCGTGTCAGAACCAGCCCATTTGACCGAGCAGACCGAGCAGACCGAGCAGACCGAGCAGATAGAGCGGATAGAGTTGATAGATCCGGCAGGGATGGCAGGGACGGGCGAGTGCTGTCTGTGAGCATAGAGACTCTGATGGAGCGCGCAGAGCAGGAGCAGCTGCAACGCGCCTTCCGCTTGTCCCACCTCATGGCCTCCTCCCCCTCCATGGCTACACCCTCTGCTGCACCCTCTGCTTCTTCTCAACCACTCGCTAAAGCAGCACCGTCGGCAGCAGCGGCAGCAACCCCAGCAGCAGCAGCAGCAGCAGCAGCAGCAGCAGCAGCACCGGCAGCAGGGGCGTCTCTGTGGGTGGATAAATACTCTCCGCGTAGCTTCACAGACCTGCTCAGTCCCGAGCCCACCAACCGTGCTGTTCTCTCCTGGCTCAAGCAGTGGGACCGTTGCGTCTTTGGCGCTGCTGCTGCCTCCTCCCGCGCCCGCACTCATCCGGATACCATCGCTGCTCTGCGCCGCCTCCCCCCGCCCGCTGCTGCTGCGGGGACTGGAGGGATGGGCGGAGGGTTTGCTGGGGGGCGCGGGGGAAGGAGGGGTGGGGGAGTTGGGAGTGGCGAGGGGGGAGGTTGGGGAGTAGGGGGAGGGGGAGGGGGAAGGGGGCGTGGAGGGTGGGGAGGAGGGGGAGGGGGAGGGGGAGGGGGGCGTGGAGGGTGGGGAGGGCGAGGTGGTGGGGGTGGCGGTGGCGGTGGCGGTGGGACTTGGGGTGGGGATAGGTTTGGAGAGAGAGGGGGTGGTGGCGGGGAGGGTGGAGGGAGATGGCGAGGGAGGGGTGGTGCAGGAGGAGGGGGAGGGCGCAGTGGGATGGTTGGTGGCAGAGGGTGGGGGGATGAGAAGGAAGGCATGGGTGGGGGTGGCATGAGTAATGGCGTGGGAGCAGGCATGGGAGGGGAGAGTCTGCTGGGAAAGAGGGTTCGGGCAGAGACAGCAGGAGATAGACCAGAGGCGAGGGTGAGTGCATGTATGGGTGGATGGATGGATGGATGGATGGATGGATGGATGGATGGATGGATGGATGGATGGATGGATGGATGGATGGATGGATGGATGGATGGATGGATGGATGGATGGATGGATGGATGGATGGATGGATGGATGGATGGATGGATGGATGGATGGATGGATGGATGGATGGATGGATGGATGGATGGATGGATGGATGGATGGATGGATGGATGGATGGATGGATGGATGGATGGATGGATGGATGGATGGATGCATGCATGGGGAGGGGGGTTGAGAGAAAGGGCTTACCTAGTGGTCTGTGCATTTGTGTGTTCGTGCGTCTGCCTTGCAGTTGGTTTATTCGTTATCTGGATTCACAGATAACGCAACAACATTGCTTGAGCTGGGAATCTGGGAATCCACATGGGGATATCATCTTGTGTTCCTCTCCGCATGTGTGCTGTGCTGCGGGTGAAGATATTCTGTTGCTGTGTGGCAGCTCGGGCACTGCGGGTACTGAGTACTGAGTGATGGAGGTCAACGCCAGTGACGACCGTTGCACTGCCCCTCTCCTGCATTCAACCTCCCCTCTTTGCCCCTTTGCGTCCCACCCTCCTACCCCCCTACCCTCTTACCCGCCTACCCTCCTCCCCTCCTCCGCTCCTCCCCTCGTCCCCTCTCCTCCCCACCACCCCCTGTGACCCCCATGTGCGGGTGCAGATCCTGCTGCTGTGCGGAGCTCCCGGGCTGGGCAAGACGACACTGGCGCACGTCGCAGCGCGGCACTGCGGGTACCGAGTGGTAGAGGTCAACGCCAGTGACGACCGCGTCGCCTCCTCCCTGCGCCAGCGCATTGTAGACGCCGTGGAAATGCGCTCCGTGCTTGCTTCAGCAACTCCTGCTTCTGCCCCTGCTTCTGCTTCTGCACCCTCCTCTTCCGCTTTGCCTTCCAAACCTGGTGGCGCTGCTGACTCCCGACCCAACTGCCTGGTCCGTGTGCTCACCCACCCACTCGCCTGCTCACCCGCCACTCGCCTCCTTACCCACTCACAACTTTGGCTGGCGTGCTCTCTCATTTGCCGCGTCCAGTGAGAGCAACTTAGTGCCGAGTGTAGTGCATGAGCGAATGAGTTTCAGCGCTTCCACATCTGCCTGCCATGCCACAAGCAAGCATCACTCTCACCTGCAAGACTGTCTCTCACTCACTCACACCCCCATGCCGCCTGCCTGCCATCCCATCTCCCACATCCCATCTCTGTCCGAGCTCGGCAGGTGATAGACGAGATTGATGGGGCCTTCGCAGGAGCTGAGGGGAGAGGCGCTGTGGATGCTCTCGTGGAACTGGTGCGTCCTGCCTGCTGTTGCCTCCTGCTCTCTTTCTCTCTCTTTTGTCTTTCGAGGCGCCTCAGAAACAAGTAAAGGGGAGAGGCGGCGCTGTGGATGCACTTGTTGAACTGGTGCGTTCTGCTGCTGCCTCCCGCTGTCTCTCGCTTTCCTTTGCTGTGTTCCTACTGCTCTCGTTTCCCTCTTACCACGGCAAACTCCCTGCCTTCTGTTCCCTTAGCTTGCTTTTTGAGCCGACGCAAAAACTTTGTTCCCACAGGCAGGAAAAAATTAGCCTGAGGATAGAAAGGCTGCAGAAGTCAAACGAATGAACGAATGATTCGAGTGAATAAATGAGCGAATGAACCACCACCAAATGATGCTGTGGGATGGGAGAAAGCGTCATTGAGTGATGGGACAACAAGCCCATGCACACACGCTCACAGACACTCAACACACACAACACACATCCACACTTCCACACTTGCACTCACCCATACATCCCCACCCATGTATCTATACATGGGCACCGAGGCGAGTTTTTCGCCTCGGCTCGTACGAGGCACTCGTTCGAGGGCGAGTGGCGAGTGTGCTTTGCCCTGAAAATAACTCGTCCGAGCCGAGGCGAGATTCGCCGAGCACTTGTTGCGCTGACGAGCTTTTTGAAAAGCTTGTGCATGTATATGGCAACGAGCCGAGCTTCCCTCGGCTTGACCGAGCTTTTCTTGAAGCACGAACGAGCTTTTCTTGAAGCACGAACGAGCTTTTCTTGAAGCACGAACGAGCTTTTCTTGAAGCACGAACGAGCTTTTGAAAAGCTCGTGCTATTTAGCCGAGTCACGAGCTTGCATTTGCCCGCAAAAAGCTCGTACGAGCAAAACTCGGCTCAGAACAAAGCTCTTACGAGTGTGCCTGGGGACGAGCCGAGTAAAACTCGGCTCGGCTCGTTGCCCATGTATACATGTATCCCCCCTTCTAATTCTCCAGGTTCAAGCTGACATTAAAGCGGCAGCCTCAACAGCAGCAGCAGCAGCATCCGCCCCTCTTACAGGGAGCGACGACGAGGATGAGGAGGGGGGGTCAGATGGGGAGGAGGCAGGCAGGGGGGGCGGGCAGGGGAGGGCGCGAGGAGGAGGGAAGTTCAGGAGGGTGAGCAAGGAGGGCGTGCCTAGAGCAAGCGGGCCCAAGAGGATTCGGAGGAGAGCATTGGGAAAGGGTGGTGCTGCTGCAGTGCAGCTCAAGCGACTTAACCGACCGGTTAGTCAGCTTGCCTGGGGTTCTTTGTTCACTGGGAGAGATCTCAACACGTTGCGGTTGAGTCGATGCAAAAGTCATTGCGAGATCTCAACATGTGTATGTACCGATTGAGTCGACCGCAAAAGCCATTGGGGGGTCACCTGTACTAGATGCACCTCAAATAAAGCCTTCATCGTTCTTTTCTCGCGACCCTTCTCCCTCCCCCGTCCCTCCCCTTTTTTTTTCCATACACGTGCATGATGGTGGATCATGTGTAGATCATCTGTATCGCCAATGACCTCTATGCGCCTGCTCTCAGGCCTCTGCGCTCCGTGGCAGAGTAGGTTGGGGTGGCGGGGGGAGGGGAGAAGGGAGACGGGAGGAGGGAGAAGAGTGAAGGGAGGCGAGGGAGAAGAGGGTTTGCAACGGATTGACTCCCTTAGTAGCAGATGCACTTGACTCGAAAGTACCTCTGCTTCTGCTTCTGCTTCTGCTTCTGCTTCTGCTTCTGCTTCTGCTTCTGCCCATTCCCTTCTTCATCACCTGCGCACCCTCCAAATGGTTGTTTATGCATGGTTCTATACATATTCGTATGAATGTGCATTTGGGTGCGCATGCATGTACGCGTGTGCATGTGCATGTGCGTATTGGCATGGGTGCAATTGTGTCTTGACTTGACCACAGAGTGCACGTGTTCCAGCTGCCAACCACCAACAGAGTCGTCTCAAGGTAGCCCCACTCTCCACTCTCCACTCTCCACTCTCCATTCTCGATTCTCCACTCTCCACTCTCCTCCCCATGTTTCCCCCGGTCTTACATCCATCCCTCGTCTCACTTCAAACCGCCCAGCCCTCCTGCATTCCACCTGCAGCCATCCTCCCCTCCACTAAACAACTTTCACAACGTCCTATTTCCCGATTCCACTCTTTCTCTCGCTCCACGCTGCTCTCTCCCCAGCACCAGCACCCCTCTCAGAACATCCCTCTTTGGAATCCCGGCCCGGCCCCCACCACTTCGCTTTGCCCATTGCGCCCCACTAATTGTACCTGTGTGCCCAGGTGTGAACCTGTGTGTCCCTTCGTTCCGCTGTGCGCCTCGCCTCTGTGGCCCTCTGCACCCCTGTGCGTCCCATGGCAGGCTGAGGCACATATGTGAGGCGGAGGGGTTTGAGGCGGATGTGCGGGGGCTCACTGCCCTGGCTGCACAGACAGGTGCGCTGAAAGCGATCCACGGAAGTCCATGCCTTGATGCATGGATAGGTGGATGAGTGGAGGGTGGGTGTGTGGATGAGTGGATGAGTGGATGGATGAATGGGTGGATGGATGGATGGGTGGATGGGTGGATGGGTGGATGAGTGGATGATTGGATGAATGAATGAATGAGTGGTCTTGTCCTCTTTGCATTCGTTCAGCAGCACCATTAACCTAACCCCCCTTCTTCCCACCCGTGGACCGGGTCCCTCCGTCCTCACGCCCACCGATCCAGACGGGGACATCAGGGCGTGTCTTAACACCCTGCAGTTCCTACACCGAGCGAACAAGGCACTGCGAGCGGTATTACTCCACTTCGCTCCACCTGCACTCCTCTGCTGCTCTGCTGCTCTGCTGCTCTGTTGCTCTGCTGCTCTGTTGCTCTGCTGCTCTGTTGCTCTGCTGCTCTGTTGCTCTGCTGCTCTGTTGCTCTGCTGCTCTGTTGCTCTGCTCCTCTGCTGCTCTGCTGCTCTGTTGCTCTGCTCCTCTGCTGCTCTGCTGCCCTTGCATTGCATCTTATGAACGTTTTCTGCGGTGCCTTGAAACCATGGCTGTTCTTGCTTTGTCTTCTGACCTCAATCCTATTCCTGCTTCTGCTCATGACTTTCTAATCCCCAGCCTTGCTGGCCTTCCCCTCCCTCGTTCTCTCCCTCTCCCTCTCCGCCCCGCGCCTATCCACTTCCCCCCCTTCCCCCCGCTCCTCCCCTGGCCAGTCGGAGGTGGCAGAGCAGGTAGGTGGTGGGACGCAAGGACGCCACCAAGGGACCCCCTGATTGCCCCTAACCCCCAACCTCTTTCTTTCTCCTCTCCCTCTCCCACTCGCTCTCACTCCCCTATCCATCCAACCCCCTCCTCCCCTCGTCAGTCGGAGGTGGCAGAGCAGGTGGTGGGGCGCAAGGACGCCACCAAGGGGCTCATGGACGTGTGGAACGAGGTGAGGTGGATTGCAGTGCGGTGGAGTGAGATGGGCTGAATGAGGTGGCGGAGTGAGTAGGACCCCTCGCCAGTCGGAGGTGGCAGAGCAGGTCGTGGGGCGCAAGGGCTATGAAGGTGGGAGAGTGTGAGAGATGCATGTATCTTATGATATTTTAGACGGTTATTCGTGTCTTTATTCGTGTTATCCACAGCCATGCGCTGTTCCCCCTCCATCCACTATCTCCTTCTAATCCCCCTCCATGCCCCTTCCAAGTCTAACCCCCTTTTCATTCTCCTTCTAACCCCCCTTCAATCTCCTATTGATCCTCTTCCACAATTTCTAGTCCTTTCCACCTTCCCCTTTCAGGTGTTCTTTCCCACTGCCCTCCGCTCGGTCCCCAAGCCTCTCTCTTCCGCACCACCACCATCATCATCAGCATCAGCATCCTCACCCTCTCTGCATTCCTCCTCCTCCCAGCCTGCCTCGCACTACTCTCGCTTTGACTCACTCATCTCCCAGCTGTGAGTCCCCCGCCTCCCAGCTGTGAGTCCCCCGCCTCCCAGCTGTGAGTCCCCCGCCTCCCAGCTGTGAGTCCCCCGCCTCCCAGCTGTGAGTCTCCTTCTCCCAGCTGTGAGTCTCCTTCTCCCAGCTGTGAGTCTCCTTCTCCCAGCTGTGAGTCCCCCGCCTCCCAGCTGTGAGTCTCCTTCTCCCAGCTGTGAGTCCCCCGCCTCCCAGCTGTGAGTCTCCTTTTCCCAGCTGTTCCCCCGCCTCCCAGCTGTGAGTCTCCTTCTCCCAGCTGTGAGTCCCCCGCCTCCCAGCTGTGAGTCTCCTTCTCCCAGCTGTGAGTCTCGAGGAGACATTTTGAGTCGACTCAATCAAAATCCAGCTCGTCTCCCAACTGTTATGCCCCATCATCACCTCTTCTTTCTGTCATGGATTTTCCTCCTCTTGCTCTTTCTCTCATGGATTACTCCCCCCCCCCCCCTCTTGCTCTTTTCCCCTCGTTCTCCTTTCCCTCACCTTCCGCTCCACTCCTCCTCGCCTTCTCCCCAACTTCCACTCGCCTTCTCTTTGTCTTCTCGTCACCGTCCATTCAATTTTCCGCTCACTTACCTGTCCTTCTACCTCACTGCCTCTCCTTTGAGGTGACTTTTGAGTCGACTCAAAAGTCTTCCGCTCACTTACCTGTCGTTCTACCTCACTGCCTCTCCTTCCTGTGCGCTGCAGTGGCGGCACATCGGACAGACACGCTTCTGGATGGCATTCACGACAACCTGCTGTGAGGCACCTCAAAGTTCTCCTTCCCGTCATTTCCCCTCCCTTTGTTCTCCCTCGCTGCCTCTCATGCCTGTGAGTTGAGCTGCAGTGGCGGCACATCAGACACTCTTCTGGATGGCATTCACGACAACCTATTGCACGCTGCTCTCTCCGATGTCTCTCTGCGCAGGACTGTGAGCCTCTGAGCCCAGCCACTCAGGCCTCAGAAACCACATGTGCACGCACTCGCTCTCGCTCTCGCACTCGCACTCGCACTCGCACTCGCAATCGCACTCGCAATCGCACTCGCACTCGCACTCACACGCACTCACACGCACTCACACGCACATGCACATGCACATGCGTACGCAAGCACACGCACACGCAATTGCACACGCACCTACGCATACACACGCACACACACATACATACGCATGCACACGCACATGCACTTGCACTCACACTCGCCACACACTCATCCACGCACACACACACAAGCTACCACATGCCACGCCGCCTGCTAATGTTAATATCAGGATCCCAATTGTTCTTCTCAAAATCTTCAGGATCCATCTCTTTAGCCTTTCCCTCTTCCCTGCCCTCCTGTTCCTTCCCCTTATACCCAACCCCCGCTTCCCTCTCCGCAACCTCTCTCCCCTCCCTCCTTCCCCCCTCTTACACACCCCCCCTCACCAAACAATCTCAACTGCGTGCTGGGCTCATCTCATGTCATCTCATCACATCACAGTCATCCTCGCTGCACTGGCTGGTGTGTGCCGACCAGTGGCACCACAGGGCCATGGCGTCTCAGCAGTTCGCCTTGCTGGGTAAGGTCGCGTGAGAGAAAGAGAGAGTGGGCTTTGTGTGGGAGGGCACTGTGTGGTAAGGACTCTGCACATCACATCACAGTCATCCTCGCTGCACTGGCTGGTGTGTGCGGACCAATGGCATCACAGGGCCATGGCCTCTCAGCAGTTCGCCCTGCTGGGTAAGGCCGCGTGTGTGAGAGAGATATGTGGCAGTGGCACCTAATAGGCACCTAGTAGGCACCTAGTTGGGATAGATGTGGCTTGCGCCACCTTCTGCTTCGTTGTGAGCGAACGTGTGTTGTGGAGTGAATGCGTCGAGTGCGTGAGAGAGAGTGTGTTACGATGTGTACTGAGAGAGCGTTGCAAGTGAGTGTGCGATAGTTGCCCAGCAACACACCCATACCGACCGATCTTGGTATGCCTTCTATCATGAGGACGTGTGACAACTCACTCCAGCCACTCCCATCCCATCCCATCCCATCCCATCCCATCCCATCCCATCCCATCCCATCCCATCCCATCCCATCCCATCCCATCCCATCCCATCCCATCCCACCCCAAACCACCGCATCCCATGTGCACATGCAGCGTTTGAGACATGTGCCATGTACGCCATCCGAGCCACCATGGGTGCGGCAGACAGACACCCCCTCGAATGGCCCAAGGCCCATGCCAGGTCTCTCACACTCTCACCCAATTTCGAGACGTCTCAAAATCTGAGACGTTGAGACGTCTCAAAACTAGAATGGCCAAGGCCCATGCCAGGTCTCTCACACTCACCCCCCTTACCCTCGTGTCTCTGTTTCTCCGCTGATCTGTTTTCTCGTTATGTCCGTCTGCTTATCTCTCCATGGTTTGGTCTCCTTCCTCCGTCATTTCATGATCCATCAGTATTTCTCTGTCCTCCTGCATCAGCACCATTCGTACGTTCTTCTGCCAGACACCTCTGATTAATATTCGTGTCTCCCTCCTTACTCTGGTTACCCTCCCTGCCTCTCTCTACATACCTCCTCCTCCCCGCTTTCATCCCACTCTCCGACCCCCCCTTTCCTCCCTTCCTCTCATCCCAACCCTCCGTCTCATCCCCTCTTGCACCCCAAACCCAAACGGCGCCCTCTAACAGGTACCGCTCACAGCATGCAGTGCGCAGGGAGACAGTGGAGGCATGGCGGCTTCTGAGTCGATTCTAAAGCCCCTTCCCTCCCCCAAACTCCCTACCCCCCTGCTCTTCTCCTACCCTTCCCCTCTAACAGGTACCGCTCACAGCATGCAGTGCGCAAGGAGACAGTGGAGGCATGGCGGGGTGCCATGCTACCGGCCATAGCACGCACCTCTCCCCTGCGCTCCCTAGTGCCGGACCTCGTCTCGCCTCTGCTTTCTGTCATCTCAGCCACCCCCATTCGCCCTGTGAGATTTGCTTTCGCTCCCTCACGTTCGTTCATGCACTGCTCCCCCACTCTTCTTCACGCTTCCTCATGGGACATGGGTCATAAGTCATGGATCATTGGACGTGGGTCATGGGTGATGGGTCATGGGTCATGGGTCATGGGTCATGGGTCATGGGTCATGGTTCATGGGTCATGGGTCATGGGTCATGGGTCATGGGTCATGGGTCATGGTTCATGGGTCATGGGTCATGGGTCATGGTTCATGGGTCATGGGTCATGGTTCATGGGTCATGGGTCATGGTTCATGGGTCATGGGTCATGGGTCATGGGTCATGGTTCATGGGTCATGGGTCATGGGTCATGGGTCATGGGTCATGGGTCATGGGTCATGGGTCATGGGTCATGGGTCATGGTTCATGGGTCATGGGTCATGGGTCATGGTTCATGGGTCATGGGTCATGGTTCATGGGTCATGGGTCATGGGTCATGGGTCATGGGTCATGGGTCATGGGTCATGGGTCATGGTTCATGGGTCATGGGTCATGGGTCATGGGTCATGGGTCATGGGTCATGGTTCATGAGTCATGAGTCATTGGACACGGGTTCTTTGAACTTAAAGTCATGTACCAAGGCTGACTCATTCAACTACATCCCTATCCCGGAAATACCTGCTCTGCCCTGATCTTCAACCACCCACTCCTCCCCCCTCCTTTCCCCTCTTCCCCTCTCCCTTCCTCTCCCCTCCCCCTCCCTTCCCGCTCCCTTTCCTCGCCCCCCTCCCTCTCCTATCCCTTCTCACCGCCCACCTCTCTCTCTCTCTCCTTCACTCTCTCCACACCTCTGCACTCTCCCACCACCAGGTGGCGGGGCAGTTGCTGACCCCATGGGAGAAGGCTGCTCTCGCACAGCTCGTGGCCACCATGCTCGACTACGGCCTCTCCTACCGCCACGCTCACCAGCTTCCCTGGCACCGCCGTGCCTTTTCTGGCGGTGCTGCTGGTGCTGCTTCTGGAGGGGAGGGGGGGGTTGGTGGTGGTGATGGGTACATGGGCGGGCCTGTTCTGGATCCTCCGCTCACAGAGTTTGTTGTGTTTGAGGTGCGTTGCTGTGCTGTGCTGTGCCCATGGTTGCTGGTCTGGATGTTGATGTTGTTGTTGTTGTTGTTGTTGTTGCACGCTCTCACGTTCTGTTGTATCACAGGTGCCTGGCAGGGCAAATGTGAAAGATGGCTAGTAATCAGCGCTTGTGCTTGTGCTGGTGCATGTGCATGTGGCTCCATGTGTGCTTCTTGCTTGTGTGTGTTTTCCCTTCTTATCCGTGTGTGCTTGGTGTGTGTGTGTGTGTGTGTGTGCGTTTGTACTGTACACGCATTGCTGCATGTTGCCCCCCTTGCTACAGAGACTTCGACCTCCACCATATGTCATGTCAATATCTGCAGCAGTGCGCCAGCTCATTGGCCGAGAGGTAGGTACCTGCACTCTCTCTATATGGCCAATGGCTCACGAGCAGGATGGGCTCCCCTTCCTATCCACCCTCTCATCACTCGAATCTACCAACTTTTTTACCTTTTTTTTTTTTTGCCATCTGTTCAACATTCTGACCATTCTGCAGCATGACAGCAAAGCAACTTCAGCTGCTGAGCGATTCTTACTCGTTCTTCCCTCGTGTGTGTGATGTACGTCGTGTTTGGTCAGATTGAGCTTGAGCGCATCCGGCGGGACTCGGTGCGAGTGAAATCAGCATCCACTCCCAATGCGGCAGCAGCTCCTCAGCTTCCTCCAACCGTTCCTCGTCCTCCTGCCCCTGCTGCGAATCCTCCTCCTACTACTCCAGCTGAGTCTCATCAGCAACCGCAAGCTGCTGCGCCGCCGCAAGCTGCCAATGGTATCCCACAGAGCAGCAAGGGGAAAGGTATGTGCCACACTGCTGCTTACAAAACCCTCCACCGTTGGTGTTTATTTTACCCTTTTGTTGATTGCCCAGCCAACCACTGGACCTTCTCAGTTGTGTCCTGCCCATTTCATCTCAATCATTCACAGGTACCCAGACTGGTGATGGTAAGGCCAAGGAGAATGGGATCATTACAGAAAGTAAAGTTGTGAAGCCACAGGATGCTTCAGGCAGTGCTCAGCAAGAAAGTGACACCAAACCGGCAAGAGTAAAGGAGATGCCACGACGACCCTTTCGGGGTTTCACCAGGTATGATAGGGTTGACTGGGGTTAGCCATGTGTGCTGACCTGATCTGTGGGAACAGGCAGAATGGAGCTCAGACTCAAGAGTTTCTTAGACTTCTGTTAGGTGCTGCAGATATTGTTCTTTACCTTTTGTTTGTACTTTCAGGAAAGTGGAACAAGACGGTGGGCTTAAAACTGCTCGTCAACGGAGTGGAGATGAGGGGTCAGGCATAAAGAGTGCTGACAACAAAACTGCTGCTGAAAAGGCTATTCGCATCTCATTCAAGTATCATGAGGTGCGAAAACACTTGTGTGATTGTGCATGTTTCATGGCAAGGCGATGCCTCAATCATTGTGCTTTGTGCTCATGCCTTGCAGGGATTTACCAATGCCGTTCGACGACCGGCGCTTTTTTCTGAGCTCCTGTAAACTCAGGTTGGCAACATTCTCACTGTACAGCGATATTATCGGCATCCAGTGCAGCAAATAGCAGGTTGCTCGCATGTTGTGCCAAACACATATTACCTACGACTGGCCTTCATATACCGTATCATACTCTCTTCATGTTCCATACCATCTTTTTCCATGTCATCTTTGTCCATGTGATCCTCTGCTGATTCTACCTGAGCTAATTCCTTCTCAATAATGTCTTCAATGCGGTCCTCAAGTGCATCCTTAATTTCGTCAAAGTTCTCCATGAAGCCTTGAAGCATGTTGAGGCGGGCTGATGGCAATCCAGAAATGTCATCACATGTCAAGTACTTGAATAAAAGCTCCTGCAACAAAAACTTGGTCACATCACACCACTCGTATCCAAAGTCTCATGCACATCCCCTTGCTGGAGCAAGTGGCTCCAAACTAACCTTGGCTGCCACACTCAGTTCCGAGGAGGGCTCATTGTCACACAAGCCACAACGAAGCACTGTCTCCCATTCCTTAGGAGTGATGCTGGCAATTAAAAGTTCCATGGGAGCATCACGCAAGCTGCTGAATGCAGCAAGCCTGACCTTCTTGTCAACGTCTCGTGTCTTGATGGCGATTGATGTGAGCAATTCTGCAGGAAATCATGGTGAAATTTGAGAACTACCCACATGTTCAATGGATTCCAGGAGGCAGCATTGTACCTTGGTCGACGTTGGGCGATGCAGAAAGGATCTGAACAGCAGCTCGACGAACTCTTGTGCTTGGATCAAAGAGCATCGCATGTGTCAGGTGAGCACGTGCCTCTGGTGTCCACATCAAAATGTTTGCAGCTTCGTCTTGCTGCCCCAGCCTTTCCAAACCTGCAACCCATGCAAGGCGTGTAAGTCCTGGAGCAATGCATTGCACGATCAAACCACTCAAAAAACTCTCACATGATAAGCACTCCAGCCGCAACTGAATGGCTTCAAGCTGTTCATTGGCCAACACTGCTGAGCAAGACGTGAAAACTATGCTTGGCTTTGCTTCGAAAATCTTCTCAAAGAGCCCCAAGGCTTGTGAATAGCCTGCAGCATAGGAAGTGTCAGGATGCAGACATACAAATAGAATACTGAAGTGGCTAAGATACGTACCATCCTTCGCTTGATAAGCACCACACTCTACAACTTTCACCAGGCAGAACAGAATCGTGTCTGCAAGGTCAGCATTTGCCAGAAATAGCAACACTTGCTTGCGCCTTAAATCTTCTCCATGTGCAGCTGAGGAGAGCAGCCCCTGAAGTGTTGTCTTCATGCACGCCAGCCATTCAGCCTTGGAATAGCCACAGCAGGGTTAGAGGCAAGTTGCAAACATGATGCCTTTTGTCCCTTCAAACGTGTGTACTTACTGCGTCCAAATTGTATGCCTCTTCCAGAAGCCTCCAAATTGACGGGAACCGTTGGCATGGGTGCACAGAAATGTCAAAGAGACTCGCTTGTACCAGCTTCAAGGCCACTTGAAAGCAGCAAAACACAATATCTGGCAATTGGAAGGGACCAGATTGAAAATGCGACAACAAGGATACACGAGCAGGTGACTGATATTCACGCCAGGTCCTGCAGGGTCCATGGGTCTGGACATTACCTGGCGGTTCGTGAGCTGCCCACACACAGTCAAACAGGTGATGTCCGGCATGTTCACCGAACAGAGCTCGCTGAAGCACAGCGAATTCCAACACATTGGCATTGCACTCATTGATAACAGGAATCTCCAACTCTTCAGCAAACTTGTACAATTCTGCAGAGAACCCCGGCCAGGCTCAGAGGTTATGACGTGGAGTTAAAATATTAACGTAACCAGACCAGTCATACCAAATAGCAGGTCTTGCACTCTCATCAATCGTAATGCTTGCTGTTCGAAACTCTCGCTTAAGTGAACGAGCCCATCAATCAAGGACTGAAACATTGATGGAAATGGAAGGTCCCACCTTGCCGTCTGAAGAAGCGTCAGACAGCTCATTATGTCCTTGACATTCCACTTAGGGGTCGACTTCCGCTTCTTTAGCTTCCTGATATTGCTCATGACAAGCAGCACAAAGTCATTATTTAGTGAAAGAATGGACGTCGGAAAGCAATATCATCATACCTGTCCGTGAGGAAACACAGAAGAATCTTCTGAATTCTTCCAAAAACGCCCAGTATGAAATCCCTGGAGACCAGGTGAGGCCGAACCTCTTCCGAATACGTGAGAAGCACTTCAAAAAAAAGGGTGTCGTGGAGATGGTAAGGAAGCCCATCTTTGGTGCATTGCTCCAAGTCCTTCAGTATGACAGTCTCCAATTGATTCATGGCCGCGCGACGGTGGATGCGAGGAGGCGAGGCGAAAAGCAAATGGGAGTGCGTTCGTTGTCACCAACGGAGGCAGTATCACCGTGGAAAATCGTCAACGTTTGGGCAAGTCGAAAATCGAGCACCTTGGGATTTGGGGAGCAAGAGTGATGGTTTCACGTGGTGAATTGTAAAAAAAATCCGTTATAAGGACATACTGCTTTGTTCAGTAAAAGTCCTTCTACCATAAGTATTGGTACATCTCTCCAACAAATGCTGGATATTATTCACATAAATAAATGAACACAAAGCAGGCAGACAATGCGGTTTCTCAAAATTCAAGCAAGCTAATACAATTGCGCATACTTGTGACTGGAAGCCAATACCATTGTACTCAGAAGCAGCCCCTTCCCAACAGCACCCAATACTACTGCACGACCTTCCCTCGACATAGCAACTCTAGTTACCAGTACCTCCAGCAGCAGCAGCAGCAGCAGATACTGCAGCAGGTGAAGTCATAAGCTGCTTCTCCAGGTAAGCTTCCACTAGATGCGAACCACATGCCTGCTGAACCACAGCCATGGTGGCTGGGGAATCCAACCGCACGAACTCATCACTGCCAGTAGCACCAGGTTCCGTGTGGGGGTCAGCGAACTCGCGACGTGCAGCAGCAATGGCATAGCGAATGGCAGAGTGGATCGAAACAGCGAGAAGGAGGGGGGGCTCCCCAGATGCTGTTAGGGGTAGCAGGCGAGGGGAGGAATGGGGAAAGAGTGGGAGGAGTCAGGAGTTGGAGAAGTCATAGGTACCAACCAGAGGACATAAATTGATGGCAAACGATGGAATGCTGCAATGCACTTGATGCGATGCTGAAGTATTTTGGAGAAGTGATACAGCCGATGTACTTAATGGTGACAAAGACGAACCAAAACAGGGGAAGAAATGGAGCATGAAAGGGACTTCGCAATAAATATAAGAAAAAAGTAGCGTCATGTGCAGAACGGAAGTTGGGGGGTTGGAGAGGAGCCGTGGAGCAGAAGGGGCGAGGGCGGGGGGGGAAAGGATGTGGAAGAGTGTTTACTTTTGGAGGAGAGCACGCCGCGGTCGTTGCCTGCGCCCTGCAGCAAAGACACGTTGAGCTGGCGAGGTGTAGTGTCAAACGATGGCACCTTGTAGGACCACGTGCCATCCGTCAACAGCCTGCCTGATGCCTCATCCACCACCACCTCCTCTGTCGTGAAGAATCCCTGCCCCTGCACGAACGCTCCTTCCACCTGGGAGGGAGGCAGGAGAGCGAGAGGGAGAGGAGAAGAGGGGCGCAACAGGAGGAAGAGTGAGTGGTGCTTGATGAGGTACTACTCATCTTGTGGGATGGCGTGCCTTGGCCACTGGACCCATGCCGCCACGACCCTTACTCTGGTGAAGAAGATTGGTGCAAGAAGAGATGTTCTGCAAGAAGAGACTGTAAGGTGTACCGCCCACCACAAAGGCTTTCTTCCTCGAAGAACAGTGAGTGGCTGGTTGGATGCAGAGCGGTGGGGGGAAGGTGTCTGACTGACCTGTCCTATGTCCACAGCAGGGTTGAGGCTGCGACCACAGTCATAGTGGATATCACACCGCAGCACACTCACACTCCCTGTCACCACATCCACCTCCACCTGCCATACAGGTACACGCCAGGGATGGGAAAATGCGGGGGACGGAGAGGCCAGAAGGCACAGGTTAATGTCCCTGGTCCATGAGACGAAGGAGCATGGATTATTACAGTGCGGCATGTACGGGATGGCACATGCACAGAGCATCCACTGGACATGCACTGCAGGATGAACCAATAAAAGAGAAGGCATGAGGTAAGATGGATGGATTACCTCTGAAACGGCAGCTCCAAAGTTGAAGTAGGAGAGGAAAAAGCTTCCAGCAGGAGGCTTGGGCTGATAATTAGCCTGAGCAGACAGGTACAAGCGCATGGCCTTGGCCTGCCCCACAACCTCCTCCCAGCTTGCCACATCCTCCTCCCCCACCACCACATCAACCCCTGCTGCTGCTCCTCCGCCCCCAAACATCCCCCCTGGTCCTCCGCCTGCCACCCCCAGCCGCTTGCACGCCTTGGCCTTTTCTGCTGCTGCTTTGGCGGCTTGCAGAAGAGGGAGGAGCTGGTCACAGGCCAGCTGGATGGCAGCACAGGAGGCCTCGGACGTGGAACTAGCAGCAGTCAAACCAGCATTGCCCATGGATATGCTGTCGTTCTCAACTACTCGGATACAGCTCACGTCAACTCCATACCCATCCATGGGCCTGCCGCTACTGCCATTGCCACCGCTGCTGCTGCTGCTGCTGAGCCAGAGTTGGTTGAGGGAGTTGGCAGCAGCCTGCCGCACCTTGGTGAACAGCCCCTGACCCATCTCCACTCCTCCGGTTTCCACTACCACTGACGCATCACCAAACACAGTCACCCGTGCAGGCTTGCCCATGATAGGGACCATGTAGTGCACTGGAGCAATGGCGAGTCCTCTCTTATGCCACTTGTGTGCTGCGTTGAATTCCTGTACTGCGTCCACTCGCTTGCTGTAGCTGGCGAGGGCTTTTACCTCCCGCCACACTCTCTCTGCGATCGCACCCTCATCCTCCGCCTTTTCCTCCTCCGCAGGAGCAGCAGGAGGAAAGCCGCGGGGGAAGAAGGCACGGAGAGAGTCGGTGGTTATGTGGTTACGCTCACGGACTAGCACTGGATCTAGGTTGAGAGCAGCAGCTACATGGTCCATCACTGTTTCCGCCACCAGCACTCCCTGCACCTCGCCTGGCGCCCTCACTGTCACTCGCGTGGGTAGGTTGGTCCTGATGGTGGGACGGAGAGGAGAGGAGAGGAGTTGGGGCGAATGGTGGGAAGATTTGGGACGGATGGATGGAGGGGTGGTTGGTATGTCAGAGGAGGAAGAGATGGGGGTTAGAAAGAGGTAGTATGCAAGCGGCAGGCATGGAAAGAGGACGGAAGGGCCATAGCGAATCAGCAACCTTGCATCCCCAATAAACCTGGCAAACACTATAGGCCCCACCCTTACCGCATGCGCCAACAGAAACAGCAATAACTTCAATGCACAAACCTTCACCCCCCCTCCCAAAAACCACATCCCATGAAACCCCACCCTTTGACCCCCAAGCAGACTTCATCCCTCCCTCTCCCCCTCCACCCATCCCATCCTGTCCCCTCACTTGGCAATCTTCAGATCAATCTGCAGTGCGCCCCAGTCGTATTGTGTGATGGCGGCCCCATAGTTCATCGGCAGCCAGTTGCTCATGGTCTGAGTGCATCCAGCATTGAGCACCGTGCTCACGCGCAGCGCATGCACGCGGCCAGTCTCGTCATACCCCACGTCGTAGCGGACCCTTGCCTCGTGCCGGCCGCCCACCAGGGCCGTGTCTGCCTTGCGCTCTAGTGCCATGCGCACAGGGCGGTGCAGGTGCTGCGCTGCCAGCGCACATGCCACTGCCACCTGAAGTCAGAACAGGGGGGACGATGAGTGAGGAGAGTAGAACCGGGAAGAGGGCGGGGGGGATGAGTCGACTAAAAAGTCAGAGCCATGCGCACAGGGCGGTGCAGGTGCTGCGCTGCCAGCGCACATGCCACTGCCACCTGAAGTCAGAACAGGGGGGACGATGAGTGAGGAGAGTAGAACCGGGAAGAGGGCGGGGGGGATGAGTCGACTAAAAAGTCAGAGCCATGCGCACAGGGCGGTGCAGGTGCTGCGCTGCCAGCGCACATGCCACTGCCACCTGAAGTCAGAACAGGGGGGACGATGAGTGAGGAGAGTAGAACCGGGAAGAGGGCGGGGGGGATGAGTCGACTAAAAAGTCAGAGCCATGCGCACAGGGCGGTGCAGGTGCTGCGCTGCCAGCGCACATGCCACTGCCACCTGCGAGCACACAGGGAGGGCAGGGTGGGGAATGGTGGCGAAGAGGGAAGTGGGGAGGGTGAGAGGGGCGAGTGGGGGTGAGAGAAGTGGAATGAGGGAGAAGGACGAGGGGAGAACAAAGAAGAGAGGGATGCAGCGGTGGGAAGTCACGTCACAGTTATCGCACTGGATAGCAAGAACGGTCTCTGTCTGACCTGCGTTACTCAGCTATCCTCCAACCACTCCCCGTCCGTTCCCAACCCCCCTTCTCCCCTCTTGATCACTCCTCAACCCCCTCCCAAACCCCCCTAAAATCCCCTCCCAGTCCTGCTCAATTGCATTACCCAATTCGACTGGCACGCCTTGCCGCCGAACCCGCCTCCCAGCCTGCGAGTGACGACATGCACACAGCTGACCGGCAGCCCCAGAGCCGCAGCCACGCTCTCCTGTGTGAACTGCGGGGACTGAGTCGCGCTGTACACAGTGAGTGTGCCTCCCTCGTCTGGTACTGCCATCGCCACCTGCGGCTCCATGTAAAAGTGCTGCTGCGAGCCCGAGCGCACCTGATGTGGGTGTGTGGGTGGGTGGGTGGGCAGACATGCTATATGAGAGGATTTTCTAGTCAACTCAGACGCCGCCTGTGTCTGGCACCGCCATCGCCACCCACGCTCCATGTAAAAGTGCTGCTGCGAGCCCGAGCGCACCTGATGTGGGTGTGTGGGTGGGTGGGTGGGCAGACATGCTATATGAGAGGATTTTCTAGTCAACTCAGACGCCGCCTGTGTCTGGCACCGCCATCGCCACCCACGCTCCATGTAAAAGTGCTGCTGCGAGCCCGAGCGCACCTGATGTGGGTGTGTGGGTGGGTGGGTGGGCAGACATGCTATATGAGAGGATTTTCTAGTCAACTCAGACGCCGCCTGTGTCTGGCACCGCCATCGCCACCCACGCTCCATGTAAAAGTGCTGTTGCGAGCCCGAGCGCACCTGGATGTGTGTGTGTGGTGTGGGGAGAGAATGGAGGACAGATGCCGTTCGAAAAAAGCCTATAGCATCAGTTCCAGGTAGCATGTGAGCAAGTCACAGGCGAACGATTCACTAGTTGAGCAAATCTCTGCACGTGACTCTCACCTGCGGCGGATCCATGTAGAAGTGCTGATGGGAGCAAGATGCATCATTCAGAGCGGCCCAGCACGATGCAGCGATCAACCCAAGCCCTCACCTCGGCATGCAGCATGCAGCAAGCCTCAGCTCGGCTCTGGTGACTGCATGATTGCATGAACAGGTTGATTGCTGCATCTTGCTGCATGCAGCAATCAACCCAAACCCGCCCATGCAGCAGCACGCAGCAAGATGCAGCATCCCTCACCTCGGCTCCGGTGATCTTCAGAGGGCTCTTGTCGAAGGCTTCCTGGAAGTTCCCGCGGCGGGGCAGGGCCATGGCGAACATGGGGTTGAGGGGAAAGTAGGACCCGGCAGCCTCCGCCTGCTCTATGCTCAGAATGGCAGTGCCACCACTCGCCTCGCCTGCAGGTGACCCAGATTCAGCCGCTGTTGCTGCTGCTGCTGCTGCTGCTGCTGCTGCTGTTGGTCCTGCTGCTGGTCGTTCTGCTTCTGGCTTGTGAGCAGCAGCAGCGGGTGGAGGGGAGGAGTCATACGTGCAGATCACCTTGCGTGCGCCTTCCTGTGCATGGCGGTACGAGTCAGCAACCTGGCGGGCGGAAGGGGGAAACGGTTGAGTCAGTGGGGGCGCAGGGAAGAGGGGAAGAGGGGGCTCAGGGAGAGAGAGAGAAGCGGATGGTTTTTCACATGGACAGGTGAAAGCAGGAACTGGCATGGGGATATGTAGGTGGACGTAAAAAAAAACAACGCCAAGAAAGCTAGCCAAATCCAGCACACACACACACACACACACACACACACTCTCTCTCTCTCTCTCTCACACACACACACACACACACACACACACACACACACACACACACCAATCAACCAGCCAACAAACAAACCTACCGCAATCCACCGTCACGCATCCCATCCCACCCATCCCACCCCTCTCTACCAACCCACCACAAGAGCCAGCGGCTGGCCGTAATACTCGGAGCGCCCCTCAGCAAAGAGCGGGTCAACCGAGCCCAGGAGGTTCGAGCCCACGTTGGCCCCACCCGGGGGCAGGTGCGAGGCGTCCAGCACTGCTACCACGCCCGGGGAGGCGAGCGCTGCAGTGTAGCAGCGCGACGTGATGCGTGCAGACGCGTGCGTGGAGACGGCAAAGGCGGCGTACAGGCAGGAGGACGGCACTGGGATGTCGTCCACGAAGATCGCATGGCCTGGTGGGTGGGGATGCAGGGGGGAAATAAAGGGGGGTGAGAGGGGGAGGGATGAGGATTTCTGAGGCGCATAAAATAAGGACGGCACTGGGATGTCATCCACGAATATTGCATGGCCTGGTGGGGATGCAGGGGGGAAATAAAGGGGGGCGAGATGGGGAGGGAAGAGGAAGTGGGAGAGGGGCGAAGGTGGAAGGGAGACGATTTTGGAGGCGCCTCAAAGGCTGGCACTGGGATGTCGCCCACGAAAATCGCATGGCCTGGTGGGGATGCAGGGGGGGAGTGGGGGAAGAGGGGAGGGGGGAAGTGGGGGGGGGGGGGGGGAAGAAGGGTGTGGGGAGGAAGAGATAAACGGTGCAGCAGGAGATAGAAGGTATAATAAGGGGTATAGGGGTGGAAGGGAGAGCTGAAGTGGGTGGGTGTAGGCTGTGGAACACGAGAGGTGGGAACACGAGTAGTGGCAAGGAGAATCTCCTTTAGTGGGCAGAGCGAGGGTGGTTGGGGGGAATGAGGATGGTTTATGGGAAGAGGCAGCATGGGAGACGGTGGGGGGGCCAAGGGAGGGGCGATGATGAATGATGCACCTGTGGCTTGCAGGTCGACGCCCAGCTTGGGGAGGGGCAAAGCGAGAGGGAAGACGTCGTTGGTGACGCTGTACACCTGCTGCCCCCTCATCACCACGTGCTGCTGCTCGCTGCTGCCCCTCACTCCGTCTCCACTCACGCTACCGCCAGCAGCACCAGTAGCAGAAGCAGCAGCAGCACCATCGCCGTGCTGCAGGCTCTTCCGGGGCGGATCGATCTGGGGCAGGTGGCGGGAGAGGAAGGAGAAGAGGAACCCAACAGCTGCCTCTGTTCTATACTCCGCCCACCGTGTCCCCTCTGGAGGGACCACCTCCCCCCGCACTGCCCTCACCACCTCCAGCACGCTGCCAGGTGTCAGCGCGCCGTTGGCTGCTGCAGAAAGCAGGCAGGACTCGGCTTGGCGCGCTCTGATGGCGTGGGGGCTGCCAAACGCCCCAAAGACCAGGCGAGCGGAGTGGATGATGGGGGACGAGGAGGAGGAGGAGGAGGAGGAGGAGGAGGAAGTGGGGGTGAGGCGAAGGAGGAAGGCGGCATTGACGTACGCATAGGCGTTGCCCGAGGGGCGGACAGACGCACGGAAGGAGTCAAACACCAGCTGCTGGCCTGCAGAGGCGGCGGAGGGAGGGAGCGAGGGGCAGGGCAGGAAGACGGAGTGCAGCAGAGTGGTGCTGGGCAGAGGACCGCGCAGCAGGAACTGCTCCAAAGAGTCTTCCTCCCACGCCCACCCCTCACTGCCTCCTGCTCCTCCTGCTGTTCCTCCTGCGCCGGACGCAGCAGTGGGGGTGGGTGTGGCGGTGCGCACAGAGGCGTTTAGGGCGAGCAGGAGCGTGGCAACGTTGGAAGGGAAGGCGCGCTGAGAGGCGGCCAGCACCAGGTTGCCACCGATGCTGGCAGCGTTGCGCACGTGCGGCCCTGCTACCTTGCGCAGGTGAGCCGCCACACTAGAAAACACCTCCGCTGCTGCTGATGCTGATGCTCCTGCCGCCTTTGCTTCACTCCAGCCAGAAATTACTGGAGCACCGTCGCTGGTGCTGGAAGCACCAGTGCCCTTCCCTGCTACTGTGTCCAGCACAGCAATCACATCGGCCAAGGACACGGCAGCACCGAATCTAACCCCCACCACACGCGCGCCCCCTTCGCCCCCCTCATTCTCCTCGTCACCCGGCCCTTCTTCCCACGCCACGCGCTGCAGCTCAGGAAGGTGTTTCAAGTCCACTCTAGTCACACGAGCCACGCCATCATAGCGACCCAGCTCAGGATACACACCCACCGCAGTGTTGCCCACCACCAGCCGAACCTCTTTCTCCTCACCATCACCCGCTCCTCCTTTCCCCTTGCCTCCCAACAGCACGGATCGCAGCTCGTCGAGACTTCTCGGCGCCACCCACGCAACCTTCCTTCCTTTCCTCTCACCCTTCACCTCCTCCGCCTGCTCCCCCGCCTCCCCCTCTCCCGCCGCACTCGCCTCTCCATTCGCCCCATCGCTGCCCCTGCCCGCCGCTTCTCCCACGCCTGACTCCTCCCAGACTTCCCACCCAAGCATCTTATCTCCCCCTCCTGCCTGCTTCTGCTGCGCGCTGAGCTGGCGCTGGGTCTCCGCGGTGAGCCAGGCGGGGAACGGCGGGTCGGAGGTGGGATCGTAGCGCGGGAGTGGCTTGCGAGGCGTGCCGCACAGCCCGCTGCACTTTCCACTGCCGCTCTTGCTGCACTTCCCGCCGCCGCCGCTTCCGCCGCTGCTGTCCTTCCCGCCACACTCCCCCTCGCCGTGCGACTGAGCGGAGATCGCAGCAGGGGCAAACTCACTGATATCTAGCACCGTACAGGAGCGCATTCCTGCAGCACCAACAGACCCAAGCTCTTCCAAATCCATCAACCCCCCTGCTGCTTCTGCTGCAGCTGCTGATGCAGCCGCACTACCGTTCGCCCCGGCGAAGCTCTTGCAGGCGTCGAGAATAGGCCGGTACCCGGTGCAGCGGCACAGGTTCCCAGCCATTGCCTCCTCTACCTCCTGCTCCGTCAGCCCACTCACCGCCTCCACTCCCTCCCCGGAGGCTCCCGCGCGCCGGCGGCGGACGGCAGCGTAAAGCGCGATGGACATACCAGGCGTGCAGAAGCCGCACTGGGACGAGTGGAACCCCGCCAGCCGCTGCTGCACCGCGTGAGGCTGCTCCGCGCGACCGCCCTTGTGACACGTGTGCGGGTCCCGCTGCTGCTTCAGCCCCGCGTCTTTTCCTGCGCCATTGGCTGCGCCGGAGGGTGCGGGTGCGCCTGCGCCGCCGTTGGCTGCGGGGAGGTCGGCGGGGGACGAGCGGGACGCGGAGCAGAGGCCTTCCGCGGTGGTGATGGCGGCGAGGTGCAAGGAGGCGAGCGGAAGCAGGCAGGAGTTGAGCGAACGCTCGTCGATGGTGCTGGTGAGAGGGTTGTACCGAGCGACCATGACCGCACATGCACCGCACCCACCTGAGATTATGGGGTCCAGGGAACACGGAGAAATGTGTGGAAAATAGAATTCAAAATTACTCTTCTATACGGCAACATGCATGGCAGCAACGACAATGTAGTGAAGGTACTCGAAAAAATCAGGACTGATAAGGTTACTTCATGTGATGTGCATGGTATTTGGAACGGTGAAGAGCCGAGTAGGTGACTGTAATGAGACTCGCGGTTGTTGAAAAAGACATACCAAAATGACTGTGAAAAAGCCACGATTTTCAGGCAGTTTTAGTCAATATAATCATGAATTTAAGACAAAACTCTCAAAGTAACGCATACCTTCACCGCAGGCCAGCTTAGTTCCTGTAAACTCTGTCCTGGTGCGGACGAATTCATTCAATGTCATGTCCGGGCCCACGTCGCGAACTTCCATACGCCGTCCATTCAGGGCAAACACCAGCGGCGCCTGGCCGTTGGCATCGAAAGGTGATGCATCGCGCCCCATGATACCACGAAGAAAGACGTCACCTTCAGGGTAGGCTGTGGGGATTGAGCAGACCTGGCTAAGGATGTGCCAGATCCCAGTACGAGCCTCCAGTGTGAATTGAAAGAATTTCGTACAGTTCAGCAGGCAGGGGGACAGCAGGGAGTGACTGCAGCACCCCAGGGCGTGCAGCAGGCAGGGGGACGACAGGGAGTGACTGCAGCACCTGAGGGCGTGCAGCAGGCAGGGGGACAGCAGGGAGTGATTGCAGCACCTCAAGGCGTGCAGCAGGCAGCGGGACAGCAGGGAGTGACTGCAGCACCCCAAGGCATGCAGCAAACAGCGGGACAGCAGGGAGTGACTGCAGCACCTGAGGGCGTGCAGCAGGCAGGGGGACAGCAGGGACTGATTGCAGCACCTCAAGGCGTGCAGCAGGCAGCGGGACAGCAGGGAGTGACTGCAGCACCCCAGGGCGTGCAGCAGGCAGCGGGACAGCAGGGGGTGACTGCAGCACCTCAGGGCGTGCAGCACGCAGGGGGGCAGCTGGGGGCGAGGGCAGCACTTCAGGGCGTGCGGCAGCGGCAGCAGCAGCGGCAGCAGCGTCAGCAGCAGCAGCAGCAGCAGCCCCCCCCGATCCCTCCGGAAAGCCCCACACCGGGGGTTGCGGAGAATTCAGCCACTCCTGACACGGCTCCACTTGCTCCAACTTGTGTCCCTTGCGAGTTCTGCTTTCACACATTTCCGCCTGGTGGTGCGGCCTCCCGCCACATAGTTGCATATAAAGCGGCAGATGCTCAGCGGCGGGCTCAGGCCCTTACTTCCTCCCCGAACCTGAGCGAGGTCTTCGGGGCAGATCCAGTACCTCCGCGGAATATCGGCGAGGAGGTGTGGGGGGCGGTGCCTTCGTGGGACTGGGAGACTTTTTTCAGTATTCATTCTGTGTCGGGAGAGCTTCTTCGTCGGGACCCGCAGCGGGCGCGACTGGGGGTGCTTGATGCATTGTGCTGCATTCTCAAGAGACTGAAGGCTTCCCCTGGGGATGAGGCGGCGACGCTGATGTTCCTGGCCTTCCCGCGCCTCATTTTGGGAGTCCCCGCGAAGGAGGGTCTTGGACGAAGGGCAGCCATAGTAGGGCGTCTCGGAAAGTTCTGGGCAGGGGAATGGCAACAGCTGTTCGAGGCTGCCTCTGCCGCGTTGACTCCGGCGGCGCGACCTCTTGCCTTCTCCTTACCTGAGCGAGATGCTGATGCCATCCGTTTGGCCCGATGTCGCACGAGGTGCCAAGTGGGGGAATGGAGTCGAGGACTAGCATGCCTTACTGCGGGTGACTTGGCGCAGCCCTCTCAACTAACAGTAGACCGGCTGACAGCAAAGCACCCAGCCAGTGAGGTGCCAGTTCCTGAGTGGGTGGAGCACTTTCGCATAGACGTTTCTCATCTTCCCCACCTAACTGAAGACATCCTCAAGCATGCTATTCATTCCGCAGCGCGAGCCTCAGCACCAGGCCCCTCGAGATGGATGACAGAGCACCTCCGAGACACATTTCTCTCGGAGCCTTCCTATCTCCCGCATCTGTTGGAGGTGTTCAGGCAGTGGATTTCGGGATGCGTTTCTGAGCGGGTGCGGCCCTGGCTTGCAGCCTCGAACTTGGTTGGGTTATCCAAGCCGAACGGGGACGTCCGCCCAGTGGCTATCGGAGAGGTGCTCCCTCGGATTCTGGCGCGTGCGTTATGCGTTCTTCTTCGTCCCGACATGGAGACCTACTTCGCTCCTTGTAACCAACTAGGGGTGGGGACTAAGTCGGGGGTGGAGATTCTGGCGCATGCTTTCCGCTCGGCTGTAGCGGTTCATCCGACGTGGTGCGCGCTGCAGATCGATGTAGCGAATGCCTTCAACTCGTTCCATCGGCACGTGATGTTCGACGGCCTCCGCGATTCTCCTTTTGCTGGCCTTATCCCTTTCTTACGCGTCTTTTATGGGGTGCCCAGCGGTCTGTACCTTCGCACAAACCCCTTTGTCGAGATGCTGGCGTCCGAGCGGGGTTCGCGACAGGGGGATCCATTTGGTCCCTTCCTTTTTGCTTTCACGCAGCAGTTGGTTATGGGGCCTACAATGAAGGATTTCCCTGATCTTCTTTTCTTGAGCTACGCTGATGACACCTACTTTTTGGCCCGCGGGAGCGGGTGTTGGCGGCGTACGATGTCTTGCGGGAGCGACTGGAGTGGGTGGGCTTGGAGGTGCAATCGCACAAGTGTAGGATGTGGGAAAGAGGGGAGGCGGCAGCGTCTGGGGATATTCCGCTGGGAATGCAGCAGTCGTGGACGGGGTTAACAGTGGTGGGGGTACCTATTGGAGAGGAGGATTGGGAGGTGGCGCGCTTGAGGGAGAGACTTTTGCAGCTGCGATCACCTCTACCTTGGCTTCCTATTTTGAACCACCCCCAGATTGCCTCCCACTTGTTGGCTGTTGCCGTGTCTGCGCGACCGCTCTTCTTGACTCGCACTGTTCCCCCTCGTCCTGAGGTTCTTGACGCTTTCAGAGATTGGGATGGGGCTTTGGAAGAGTGCTTTGAGCAACTTTTCCCGCCAGACACTTGGGACTTCAGTCCTGATAGGTCGCGCATGGCTCACCTGCAGCTGCACCTCCCGGCTCGTTTGGGCGGGTTTGGCATTCGTTCAGCAGCAACTCTTAGCCCTCTCTCTTACGTCTGTGGGTGGTGCCAGGCTGCGAGTGCTGTTGTCAAGCTGGGACTAGCGGGCGAGGAGCAGATGTTCACTGAGTTCTTCCGCACTCCGTCGGCTGGGGATTTACTGGACCCTTGGTTTACCAAGGCCCTTGGCCAGCTCCCGCCTGTTGTCAGGCAGGAATTGCCGAGTTTGGGGCTCTGCACTACAAATCCCCCCCTCCAGCTTTTCCCAGCGCAGCAGCGTCGCTTGGCGGTTGAAAGTCTTCAGTCTCTGCGGCGCATGGCCCGCGATGATGCTACCTTGGCCCGTTTGACTTCCCTTCAGGGCCCGGGTTCGGCAGCATGGGTGTCCGCAGTTCCAGCGCATGATGACGCAACTTTCACCCCTGTGGAGTGGGGCATTTCGGCGGCAATCCGTTTGGGCCTTCCCGTCCACCAGCTTCTGGTTGCTGGCAAGTGTGTTTGCGGTGTGGAGTTCAAGGACCCGTCAGATCCGCACCATGCTCTTCGGTGCAAGTACCAGTACGCCCTGTCTCGTGTTCATGATGCAGTGAAGCTCGTTGTTGCTAAGATAGCCAAGGCATCGGGTGGGGTGGTTACGATCGAGGATGACACGCTTCTGCCGGGGAAGAGAGTGGATGTGGCGGTTAGGAAACCAATGGACGGGGAAAAACATGCGCTCGAGGTGAGCGTCGTAGATCCGGTTTCGCTACCGGTGCAGCAGCATGGGCAGTGTGGGCGGACAGTAGGTTTTGCTGCCAAGGAGCGAGAGAAGAGGAAGGCGACGGATTATCAACCTTTTCTGCGGCAGCACAGGGGGGTTCGTTTCTTCCCGTTGATTCTTGAGACTTGGGGTTGCTTGGGGGGAAGCTTTCGACAGTGGTTACGGCAGCAGGGGGAGGTTCAAGTAAAGGTGGCTCTTAACAAAGGTGTGGGAAGGGGCAACAGCTCGGGTTTCTCGGAATACTTGGTGGGGTCCTTGACAGCCGCGGTAGGGGTAGCTTTGCAGAAGGCACAGGCTCGGGTGATTCTTTTGCGGGCGGCATACACGTTGGGTCAGTCCGAGGCGGAGTGGGTGGAGCGAGGGGGTGGGGAGCAGGAGTTTGGAGAGGGAGCACCATGGGTGGACGTGCCCTACTTGGTCGACATGCGGCTGTAGATGTCTTAGGAAGCAATACTTTGTTTCGGGTTTTGGCGATGGTCTTTTGATGTTTGAGGTAGTAAGACACTTCTAGGAAGGGTTTATGCATGTCTGTATGCTTGTTGAAATGTAACGAAGCATGATTCAGATTGCGATAGATTTATCATGTACAGTAATAGTGTATAAGTTTAGTATTAACTGTACAGTATTGTATATGTACACTCACACCACAAAAAAAAAAAAAAAAAAAAAAAAAAAAAAAAAAAAAAAAAAAACTTGCTTGATCCTTGGGGAGAGGACGGCACCATGGCAGCCGCCTAGACTAGACGAACCATCGCTTGGCTTGGCAGCAGGTTTGGAACCCTCGAGGCATGATGTGGCTCTGACCCATTCGTCCAAGTTTATCCAGAATCAAGGGGCTTGCGTGGGATGCTGTAGCTGATGCACATTTCCCTTTCTTATCAAACTCACTATCAGCAGATAGCATTGACGCATCATACTACACCCAGGCTATCTTGCTCTTGTGGCATCAATAGCAGCAAACCTCAATAATTTCTCCTCATAGATCAAAGCTATTATCAAATTGAATTATGTGTGAAATAACTGTATAAAGCTGATTAGTATATAAATTTATTAACTAGTAAGATGTAGTTACTCTATGGTGAGGGAAACAGTAACGAACAATGTACGAAAACAACACATTGATTATTGTATCAAGACATTGTAAGAGAAATATGTTCCCAGCAGAGGTGTACTCAGGCTAATAGATTTTTGGATCAGGATCTGCGATAGTTGCTGCTTCTGCAACACGTTGACTAGCTGAACGAACCAATTGACACCCGTCGTTACGCGTGTTATTCGAATCACGACCGTCAGAAAGGTGCATGTTGGGTGTGGACTCCAAGTAGGCGAGAGCAAAGCTGACGCACTTTGAGTCAACTCACGTGGCGAATTAAAATGGTGTGTTGGGCGCGGCGGATTCGTGCTGGAGGGATCAAGATGTCCTACTCACCACAGAGTTTAATGCTTTCCACCTAGTGTTCAAGGAGGTGATTGGTTAACAAGGTGGTTCCAGCTGGCAGAAACTGTTCGCGAACAGTTGACGCTCAATCTCCACCGTATAATTGAACAAACGACGTACAGCTGCTTCGAGATGACTCCGTGCCTCGTGTGCGCGCCACTTGGACACGACACATTGGCGACGATGCGCGAAAGTGGTTTCTTTCGCCTGCGCTGCGCAAACTTGTGCTCCACAGAGCCTAGAGATTCTCAGCGAAGCTCATTTTGGACTGAGGCGAGCTTCGCCTGCCTCGATTTCGTGTCGTGGAGCCACGACGACACACTTCCTACACACATCATCCAACCAGTCGTCACTACCTTCGCGGTTCGACTGAATTCCAGAATCTCACCTATTTCTCCGCATTCGAAACCCGTAGACCACTTCCGCAACTGCCGTGCCAAAATCAAGACAATATCTTCCTCACAAGTCCTTCCATTTCAATACAGGACGAGAAAAAACTAGTGGTTACATCATTCAATCGATAGCTCCTTCATCTACTCCTGCCGCTGTGACGCTCTCGTAGCTCCTCTCGCTTTTGAGGCGCTTGTTCGCCCCACTGGCGTTTCCATTTCCCTGGATCGTACACCAACACCTCTGAAATCATCCGCAAGCTCCGTCCTCCGCTCTCCGTAACTCTCGCTGCGCTTTCTTTACTCGGTCCGCGTTCTTTCGTCTTCTTGCTCTAACTTCGCGTTTTTTCTCGCCGTGCTGGCTCTGCACGATGCTAAGCACATCTGCGCTGAACCCTCGTTCCATCCATCCATGCCCTGGGACGCACTCCGCCGGCCTCCCCCCACATCACCCACCAACACCACGGCCTTTACTAAACAGTAGGCCAACATCACCCTCCGATCTATTCCATTCTCGCGCATCTCGCGCCACCTTGAATGCCTCTCAAACGATTCTTTCCGCACGCGCGCATCGCGGCGTCGTCATCACCAATCAGCTCCTGCCGCGCGGTGGCCGATCAAGCCCCTCCCGTCACGCACCCGCGCAGCCCCCGTGCGCGATCGCGCCCTTCCGCAAAGCGCCTACTGCTAAGAAGTCCGCAGGGGAAGTTTCGCAGGCACCGGCGCAGTCCAGCCTGCGCTCCGCTCCCCGCCAAACAAGGTCACCGCCGGTGGCGGAACCACAGACGAGTGCTACTGTTGAGTCGACACAAAAGAAAGCGCAAGAGCACGAGAGCGCGACAAGCGCTACAAGTCGGCAAGGGCTTTCCGCCAACTCCGATCACTCGAGTGCTACTGTTGAGTTGACACAAAAGAAAGCGCAAGAGCACGAGAGCGCGACAAGCGCTACAAGTCGGCAAGGGCTTTCCGCCAACTCCGATCACTCGAGTGCTACTGTTGAGTTGACACAAAAGAAAGCGCAAGAGCACGAGAGCGCGACAAGCGCTACAAGTCGGCAAGGGCTTTCCGCCAACTCCGATCACTCGAGTCTGCTGGATGATGGTGTGATCGATTCGTCGCGATCACCGTCGTCGTCGAAGCCGCCGCCGCCGCCGCCGCCACCGCCGTCGTCATGGCTCTCCAACGTCGCACTCTCTCTGCCCGTGAAGTCCCTCCCCGCGATCACAGGAGACGCGGGCCTCGTGGCGTTTCTTCTGAGGCGAGATGGCGACTCCGGCGACGATTGCGCCCCTGGCGACGAGGAGGAGGAACGCCGGCTACAAGACTCGGACACGACGCCAACTTCAGATCGAAGCTCCGCCTCCCAGCGAGGGGAGTCCCTCGGCGGTGCCGACGGCGTCAGTGCCGAGCCCGACGGCGCGGGCGATGGCAGCGGTCCGCCGCTCCACGCGGCGGTGGGCGCTGCGGTGAGCGCAGCCAAGGACGAGGTGGCGGAGAGAGTGCGCGCGCTGCTGCTGCTGTCGCGCGCGGGAGATGACTCCCCGCGGACGACGATTGACGAGTCATTTCCCTTGGTTGACGATTCTGCAATCCGCGATTCCCACTCGCGAGACGTTGAACCCGCGGGGCCGCCTCCGACACCAGTACTGACCGTTGGGTCCCTGGCCGCGCCCGTTGCGCCTCCGCTTGAGGGAGAGGCGGAAATTGCAGCGGGGGAGTGGCAGGACGAAGAAGGCGCGGCGGATGCAGAGGAGGAGACGGAGGCGGAGGGGGAGTGGGGCCCGCGCGTGTACATGCGCGGATTCATGTCGCTCTGGCGGGGGATGCGGGGCGAGCTGAAGCAAGACGCGCGCGCGAGGGAGGAGCGGAGACAAGGAGAGGGGGAGGGACGGGTTGAGGAGAATATTAAGGGGAAGGAGAAGGAGGAGGGTTTGGCAGGGATGGTGGAACCAATCAAAGTAGATGCTGAAGAGGCAACACAGGGGGCGGCGGCAGAGGTGGTAACAGGGGTGGGCGACGGAAGCAAGGAGGAAAGCGTGGTCGCAGAGAGTTTCGAAGGAGGAGAGAGCAAGAAGCCTGCACGGGCCAGTGCATGGGCGCTGGGAATGTTGAAGGACTGGAGGCGGCAGCAGAGGCAGGAGGAGCAAGCTCAGCCACAAAAGCAAAGCGACGGTAAACCCGTTCTGCTGACCGCGGAAGAAGCTACTACTGCTGAACAAGCTACCAGCAGCGCTCCAGCAGCAGCGCCCGTTCAGAGCCAAGGGGCGGAGCTGAAAGGGCCGCTGCTGCAGGAGTTGAAGGTGGAAGAAGGAAAGCTGGGAATGCGTGAAGCAGGCACGGAGGATGTGATCGGCTTGGCCGCTTCTGGCGTGGGGTTGCCGGGCGGCCGAGCAGGAGCAGCCACGGATGCCGGGGGAAAGCAAGCAGCGAGAAAAGCTGTTTCGTGCAACACGTGCAACTCGTGCAAAGCGTTTGCTGCCACGGCTGCTGGTGCTGCTGGTGCAACAAGCGAGATTAATGCAGAGGGAACGGCGCCAGCAGCAGCAGCAGCAGCAGCAGGTAAAGGAGCCATGTGGGTGCAGCATACAGCGGACTCGCTGCGTCCGTTCCTGCAGCCGGCGTCAGGAGAGGAGCTGTGGCGCGTGTCGCTGCTCGCATGGCTGTGCGAGAAGGCCTACAGCATCCCCCGCCTTGATGTGAGTGTACTCCCATCCCAACACCTCTTTCTCGCCAACATTGTTTCTGCGCAGTCTCTTTGTCCTGTTTGCCGTTCGCCGTTTCCTCGTCACTTTAAATTGCTTGTTTCTCTGTCTCTGGGTTCTCATCTCTCCTTCCACCTCTCGTCCTTCCATGTCCTTCCATGCCCCTGTCTGCGTGCCTGTCTATCTGCTTGTTCCTCCAGACCAAGCAGCTGCATCGCCGCTTCGGCCTCACCCTCGTCACCTCCTCGCACCTCCTCGCCGCTGCTCAGGCCGAAGCTGCTGCCGCTGCAGCTGCCGCTGCCAGCCTCGCCAAGCAGAAGGCTAAGGCCGCCAGAGCAGCAGCAGCAGCAGCAGCAGCGGCAGCACCAGCAGCCGCACCACCCACAGCAACATCACCTCCAGCAGCAGCAGCAGCAGCAGAGAGTACAAGTCCGGTTTCAGTGTCACATCCAATGGCGGCGCTCCCTGCTGGGCCGTCCATGGAGCATGCTCTGCTCCCTGCTCCTGCCATCCACGCGGCTCTTCCTCCCCCTCACCACTCCCCTGCTCCCTCTCCCTCAGCAGCATCAGTAGCTCTAGCACCACCCGCGTTGCCTCAAGTCACTGCCTTGGTTGCCTCTCCTGCACCTCCCACCACTGCCCTTGCTGCAATTCCCCACACCACCACCACCACCACCACTGCCACCACCTCTGCTTATTCCTCTACCTCTGCCTCTACCGCAGCTCCTTCTCCTGCTGCTGCTGCTACTGCCGCTCCTGCTGCCTCACCCGACCCACTATCTCTGGATGCCCCACTTTTGGAAGAGGCCGCATCACCGCACCCCATCTCTCTCCACGCCACTGCTGAGGCCTTCGCCTGTGCAGCCACTGCTGCTGCTGCTGCCACTGGTCCTGCGGCCTGCTCTCCCACACCTGCCACTACTGAAATGGGAGCTCCTACTGCCACTCCTGCTTCTGCTCCTGCTCCCCCTCCTGCTCCTGCCTCTACTCCTGCTGCAAGCGCCAAGAGCAGCGCAGCAGGGAGCAAGACCGCAGCAGCAGCAGCAGCAGCAGGATCAGAGGGGGAGGACGCAGGGAGCGGGCAGAGCCCGTGTGCGTGGTACATATGCGACGATGAGGCGACCAACACGCGGTACATAGTCATCCAGGGTTCTGAGTCCGTGGCCTCCTGGCAGGCTAACCTCAGCTTTGACCCTGTGCCCTTTGAAGACGCGGCTCTAGGCGTGCTGGTGCACAGAGGGATTTACACCGCTGCTAAGGCTCTGTATCGGGAGATGCTTCCGTACATTCGCACGCACCTGCACGGCGTGCAGTCTTCGCATTGCTCCTATGCCCACGCTCATGAGCACGCCCGCTCTGACTCCCACTCCACCCACGCCCACGCCCACGACCCTGACCATGACTACCCTCACAGTGACTTGCACGCGCACCGGTCCCGGCCGCATCCACCCAGGGTCCAGTTCACAGGGCATTCCCTGGGCGGCAGTCTAGCTGCGCTTCTCTCCCTCCTGCTGCACCTCCGCGGGGAGGCCTCCCCGCACCACCTCCTCCCCGTCGCCCTCTTCGGTTCCCCGTCCATCATGTGCGGTGGAGACCGGTTGCTAGGTTTGCTGGGCCTGGAGCCTGAAGAGGCGATGTGGAATGTGGTGATGGCTCGGGACTTAGTCCCTCGGGCGTTCACGTGTGAGTATCCCTCACATATCACGGAGGTTCTAAGGCGTGTGAGTGGGGCTTTAAGGAAGCACCCCTGCTTGCTGTCTCAGAGGCTTGTGTATGCTCCCATGGGGCATATGATGGTGCTGCAGCCCGATCCTGCCAAGGCCCCTCCGCACCCCCTGCTGCCGCCTGGCACCGCTCTGTACCACTTGGCACACCCGAGTGCGCCGATACAGGTGCCGAATCCCCTGCCGTGGCACACGGTAGCTCTGGCGCGGCGGCTGTGGCGACTGGTGGTGGGGCGAGCAGGAGGAGGAGGAGAGGGCGAGGGGGAGGGAAGCGAGCGGGGCTGGATGGAGGAGAGAGAGAGTCAGAACGTGTGGGCTGCATCTTCCTCTCGCCCCTCCTCTTCCTCTCCTACCACCTCTCCCGCCTCCTCTCCCTCTGCCTCTGCCTGTGCCTCATCTACCGCCCAGGCCCGCCTTGAGCTGCGAGCAGCCCAGCTGGCCTTCCTCAACAACCCACATCCGCTCGAAACCCTCTCCGACCCAGCTGCGTACGGCACAGAGGGCACCATAAGCCGCGACCATGACCCCCGCAACTACACTGGCACCTTGACCAGCCTCGCTCTACAGGCTGTGCGGCGGGTTCGGCAGCAGCGTAGAGAGCGGGAGCAGGAAGAGACCCGGAGGGCGAAGGAGCTGGCGGAAAGGCAGCAGATGGCAGTATTTCAGCAGCAGCAGCGGCGGCTGCGGCAGCAGCTGATGCAGCTGGTGCCAAGAAGGAGGCGGTTGGTATCAAAGAAGAGAGTAGCGAAGCAGAAGAGGGGGGGGAAGCAGGATGCGGTGGCTTCTGCGTCTGCTTTGGCGGCTGCTGCTGCTGCTGCCTCGGCGTTTCTTGCAACAGATGCTGGCAAGGGGAGGTTTGGGCCCAGGAACAGTTTGGGTTCCACTTCTCCCATCTTCTCTTCTGCTGATTCCGCATCTGATTTCTTCTCCTCTGCACGCTCCTTGCCTCAGGGGGCGGTTACTGTGAGGTTTGTTGCTGCAGCGGTCGCAGCAGCAGCTGCTGCCGCTGCTGCTGGTGACAGCGCTGCCAAGGGAAGAACAGGTTCTAAGGGTAAGAGCATCAGCAGGGGTAGCAGCGGCAGCAACAGGAGCGGCAGCGTTCGCAGCACTCTAGAAGTGTGTGCTTCAGATGCACATAAAGGCGGAGAAGGTGTAGGAGGTGGAGGAGGGGGAGGAATAGGAGGGGGAGGAGCAGCCTCAACCTCTCTATCCTGCGGACCCCCTTACTCCACCTGCCTCTCTTCCACCCACCGGCCATCTCCCACTGCGTGCGCTCTCCCAACGACCCCTGCTTCCCCTTCTTCCTCTGCCTGGATCACCAGCACCAGTGGCAGTAGCAGCAGTGGTAGTAGCAGCAGCACGGCAGCAGCTGCAGCGGCAGGAGCAGCAGCGGGGGAAAGCAGTGACGGTAGCTGCAGCAGCGGCGAGGGAGGGGAGGTGGGGAAGCGGGGAGGGGGTGGGTCGTGGATTGATTACTTTCTGTCGCTGTATCGGTCGAGACACGCAGGGGTGGTGCTACTGCTCCTCGTTGCTGCGGCTGGTGACTTTTGAGTTTGACTCAAAGGTCACGCATGCAGGCGCGGTGCTGCTGCTGGTGCTTGCTGCTGCAACTGGTGCGCGTCTGTGACCCCTGCCTCACTACTCTCCCGTAGCAGTTCTGGTTGAGAGGTCTTCGGCTCGTTCTCCAAAGAGGAACAGTTGCTGGGTGGATCAGTCAACACTATACACAAACGTATGGCTTCAGTGTGCTCCCCACAGCTAGTGCTGCTGCCGCCGTTGCCGCAGCAGTTGCTGCAGCACCTGATTAAGCCAGTTCTCGTGTCAAGTCAAGACGCGCTGTAGCATAGTATCTCATGAAGTGAGTAAACAGGTAAGTCTTCGGATTCTTGTTGACAAGAAATTGTACGGTCATTCTTGTTACCAGTGACTGGACCTTCATGGAATTTGAGGGTCTGCTGCTGAGTGTAGTGTACATTAGTTTCTCCGAACATTAGGCCTGTACATAATTCTTTTTTGGAATGCATTTTGTTGTGAACGAGTTGAATTCTGATGAAGCAACACTGACCAGTTCCAATCAGTCAGTTCGTGACCAGTCTTTATGCTTCCACGTCCTGCTGAAGCAATACCAATCAATGCCTTTCCGAGATGGAACATGTTTTGTGATGGAACACAGATATGGCTGCCTGACGAGCTGATCGCTTCCTTTTACGTTATCAAATCACTAGTGTTCACTCTAGTCAAAAAGAGTTTGCAAGTAACGGGGTCACCTGATTTCACGGGCAAGAACTTCAAATCAACCTACGGTACGTCCTCACCAATTTCGCTAAGACTACTTCCCAGAGAATTCACCAGTACGAGGAATCTACATACAGTACCGTACAAAGAAAGCACTAGGCCAGGGCCCTCTCAGCGGCCGTCACTCCCTGTGACATGCCGCCTGCGTTTGCGAGCGAGGCAGTAGACAACAACCCGGCGACTGATGAAGTCTGGGTGCAGGTGCCTGTCTAACAGCCTGCCCACTGTGAAGCGCGCCTGTGCGCGCTCCAGAAAGAGTTGCAATACCTCGTCTGATGCAACGCGCACCAAGGGAGAGTAGGAGAGAGGGAGAGTAAGAGAGTGGGAGTGAGGGAGGAAAGAGTAAGGAAGGGGAAAGATGAGAGGGGCAGCAAGAAATGCATCCCTCAGAGCCTGATCCCTTACTAGTCGTCGCACTCTCTTCCTTCCCTAGCTTAGCGTTTACAATCCTTCGAAGAAAAACAGCACAGAATGAACAAAAAGGAAGAAAGAAAGGAAGACAAAAAAAAGGAAGAAAAGAAAGGAAGACAAAAAAAAGGAAGAAAAGAAAGGAAGACAAAAAGAAGAAAGGAAGAGTGCAAATCTTCCTAAGCTCACCGTTCCTGAGCTCGCCTGCGATGAGCACAGTGGTGTGCACGCGCACGAGCTGCCCCAGCGCCTGCAGGAGCACCTCCACACCCTCCTCACTGAACACCACATCCGACGCCACCACATAGTCATACCCCCTCCGCGCCCCTCTCCTCTCTTGCTCCTGCTCCCGCAATTCCCTCCCCCGACCGCCCCCACCCTCCTCCTCACCCCCATCCTCCTCATCCTCCTCCTCCTCATCATCCGCCTCATCCTCGCCGCTCCCATCGGTGTCATTCTCCTCCTCCTCCTCCTCCTCACCGTCGAATCCTGGAAGCGCCATGTCCTCCCCCCACTCCAGCTCAAACACCCTCACTCTCACCCGCGTCTCCTCGCCCTTCCTCCCATGGCACACCTCTACCACCTCCGGCCACGCCCCACTGTCCCCCCCTCCTCCCCCCATCCCCCCATCACCAACCGACGCTCTTTGCCCAGTTGTTCCTGCTGCTGCTGAGCCTGCCTTCCCCGCTCCCCCTCTGCGCTTTCCCCCCACACCACCACCGCCACCACCGGAGGCACTACCCGCCGCGCCCCTCGCACTGCCAGCCGGAGCCTTCTTGGCCGATGAGTGGCGGGCAGAAGAGGCCGATCCATGTGGAATGAACGAGGAGGAAGAAGAGGTGGAGGAGTTGAGGGAGGAGGAGGGGGCAGAGAGGGGGTGCGAGGGCAGCAGGTTGTGACAGACGTTACGGTGCAGCAGGCGCAGGCGGTCATACTGGTCCGTGATGTGCACGTGTGATGCTCCTAGAAGTGCCGCCACAATGCTGAGGGGGGGTGGGTAGGGTACGGGGGAAGAACAGGGAAGGTTTTTTTAGTCGATTTGAAAATCGTCTCATTACAGCAGGCACATGCGGTCATACTGGTCCGTGATGTGCACGTGGGACGCTCCTAGCAAACGAGGGAAGTCACGACTTAAAACCGGAGTCTAAAGTTCCCCAAAATTGCCTCAACCTTCCTACCTTTGGTTGGGTCACCAGGTCCAAAAAACCTTCCTACCTTTGAAACCTGTGGACCTCGGGTTTTAAGGTCTTCTCATCACACAGAAAAATTGTGACGGTGAGGGCGACAGGAAAATCGAAGGAACCGTCTCCCAACCTGTGACCCCACCTACCTCCCCACCTCAACCTCTCTCCCCACACTTAAGCTGTTCAGAACCTGAAGCCCGCTCCCCCCCACCCCCCCCCTCACACCACGCACCCCACAAGGCCGCAGCCAGCCCCCAGCTCGAGGCACCTAGCACCCCGAATGGGTAAGCGCGCCGAGTCCGCCAGGTGCTCCAGCGCCTTCGCCAGCACCACGCCGCTGTCCCACAGCACCGATCCTGTCACGCCTGGCCGAACCTGCAGACCAGGTGCGGAAGGATGGGGTAGAGAAGGATGAAACCGACGAGGCGGTTTAACCACGGGAACAGGAACACGGCCGCGGTGCGTTGGCGGCCGCGGACGCGTGGAATCGTGGACGCGTGGACGTGTGTGGACGCGTGGTCGCGTGGACGCGTGGACGCGTTGTCCCGTGGACGCTAGCACTGGAGTGGGGTACCTGCGAGGCAGGAGGGCGACTGGAAAATGTCGAGGACTTGTCCGCAGGCTTCGATGCGCACGCTGGTGGCGCCTTGATCCACGAAGCAGCCCATGCGAGCAGTGAACGGGTCGCGCAAACCCCACAGCAGCATCACCTCCTCGCACGGGTCCCCTACCATGGCCACAGGCACGCCAAGACGTCCCACCCATCCCTCTTCGGGCTCTGTGAAGCTCTCCTCGCTGCTTAGGCTTCCGTCGCTTTCGGCAGCTGCACTTGCTGCTGTCGCCATGGTTTAAGTCTCTGGTTTTGCTTGGCTGAATCCTTGTCGTGATTTTTCCCTGGTCTGTGGATTTATACCAAGGTAGGAGGTGTAATTCTGCTGTACTTTTGGCAGCTATATGCTTTATGTAACTCTCATGTGTATGAGTAAAAATATGGTTAAATAAATTCCAGGGGAGGACCCATTCACTTTTATTCTTTGCCCAGTTTCTCAGTGCATTTTTTTTTCTCAGTGCATTGTAATAGTATGATTAACGATTTATATGGATTTAGTAACTACACACATTCTACACACATTTCGAGAGTGCACGTGGTGTACAGAAAACCGTTGGCTGAGGCGGGGAAACGTCGCCAGCGGAGTGTCGCACATAATTGAGCGAACCTTTTGTGTCATCCCGCCTGTTTTGCGACCCCGCCAGTCGCACAGCTGGTCGTTGTGCCAAATTCAAATTCCAAATGGCGACTGCATCGCTGGACGGATGAACCCACCAAGTCTGATCCTCGAGGCGCAGTTGACTCAATTCCTTGAACTCTCCGAGACATTCTTCAGCGTCCAGTTTGAGCTTCCCCAGCTGGACTACATATATCGTCTCGGGCGAATTACTCTTTCACTTCACTAATTTTACTTCACTTTTTCTTCAATCCACGGTCGGATCGTACTGCTCTTGGTTTCCTCAGTCTTTCCAAACATTTGTTTCTTCGTTTCGGTAATATCCATCTCCCAACCATGACACAGACAGTACTTCCTGAGAGCTCTCAAGCGGCAGTTGATATCCCTCTTGGCCCTGATTCTGAAACACCAGCCAAGGATAAATCTCTCTCTAGAGGGACTGAGAAGCTGGTTCACATCATTCCGCTCATTCTGATGCTCTGCATGGTCACTCTCTGGATATGCCACAAGGGTAAGCCTCCCGTCCAGTCGTCAAGTCTCTACTTCGCCAAGTTCTGTCAATTTGATGTCATAATGACCATTGTTGTGATGCCGCAGACTTGGATATGGTTTCAACGACAACCGTGCACGGAGTTTATCACTTCTCCACAAAGTCTACTTCAATATCTGAAAGAAGACTGATCGACGTCACGCAGGACTCCTCACACGAGGGAGACGTGCAAGCTGCTGCTGTGCAGCAAACGACACATGAAAACGGCTTCTCATTCCGGAAACAGATTCACCGAGCGCTCTTCTCTCGTAAGGATGCTGAGAAGACAACCAAACCGAAGTATAAGGCAATTTTGTTTCGCTCTACGTAGACGTCTCGTGCCCCGCTGAGGGTTTACCGCGAATGCATACCACTGACGGCATGACTTGTGCCACTCGGGAACATCGAGATAATAGCTATTTAGACTCAACATTGATGTTGTGGTTTCTGAGATGCATAACTCTGGGTGAACTAATTCAGTGACGACTAATTTCAGAACCTGGTGTAAAGGCAGCACAATTTACTACAACACGAGTAATTCAACCTACCAGTATCTGAGAATGCCTGAGGGAATTATCATCACCCCGCCAGTGATCCTTTGCATGCGCATGTGGAGAGAATTGCATCAATGACACCATCACTGAAACAGCTTGAATAAACCACTGTTCAACAACATTGCTCTTTTTAAAAAGGTTGCAACACTAGGATGAGGAACATCTTCGACAAACGAGCCATTTTCGTCTTCATCTCTGCAACATGACATGATCATGAGGGAACACAATACGGCATACCGGTAAGAGAGAAACAAAAAAGCCGTAACCACATGAAACTGGAAAACTTGGACTCAACATCGTGAAGGTGATTACGTGTTACTCACCCTTGCTCCTCGCTGTGGTGTTCCGCGGCCAGCTCCTGCTGAACCATACCCAAATTTCGGCTTCTTTTCTGCTGGTTTCAGAATTTGGAAGGAGCACATGAGACTCTCATCCACGCTCATCATGGCTCCTGCATTGTCAAACTCGCCACAGTAATTGGGTGCTGAAAACACTGTAACAAGCTGTCTCTTGGCAAAGAACTCGTAACCATCTTCCACCACCTGAACAGGAGACAAGCGGGAGGTACTGTAAGATGTGAATGTGAAATAAAAACGACCAGTCCCAGGATGTGGTTGATGCTAACTCAACAGCTCGAACACATGGTGCTTCCAGCACCGATAAACATAAGACAAGAAGGCACCAACCTGGTGTGCCCGACACACGAGGTCAAGGTCGTGCTTGTCAAGGAATTCTGTGACCGTGTCACCTCCAAATGTATACGACACGCCCCTGTCATTATCCCCCCATCCCTGAATATCTTTATCAGGATCTGCCCACAATAGGTCACACAGCAGGCCTGCATCCGGGACATCTGTGGGTCGACCAATCTTCTTTATCTGCTCGAGGGAGCGCAAGTCAGGTGATAGCCCACCATGCATGCAAAGTATCTTCTCATCTATGAGAGCAGCCACAGGGAGGCAGTTGAAGCACTCAGTGAACGTCTTCCATAAGCGAATGTTATACCTGATGGATAGAAGTTATAAGCAACGAGACGGGGAAAGGGCAGACGTGAAAGGGGAACCAAAGTGGCGAATTCAGCTGTTCGAACTGGTTAATGAGAGCGACCCGCTGAGACGCGAGCGTGAGCTAGTGAACCTGTCCAAGCCTAGGATTGCAGCAGCAGTGCCATTCCTACGGTAGCCTTCTAACCACCGAATTCCAACTCACCGGCGCTTGCACTCGTCATAGAAGCCATAGATGCGATTAATGGACGCACACTCGTGATTTCCACGCAAGAGGAAGAAATTCTCCGGGTACTTGATTTTGTACGCTAGAAGAAGGCAGATGGTCTCCATGCTCTGCTTTCCGCGGTCCACATAGTCTCCCAAGAACAAGTAATTTGCTTCAGGCGGAAAACCACCGTACTCAAAGAGACGCAAAAGGTCCGAGTACTGCCCATGGATGTCACCTACGGTGGAGCAATGAAACGAAGTTCAGAAGAGCTTTTAAAAGCAAACGAATGTGGAGGGCGGATAAAGCAGCGAGGGATAGGGATAACAAGAGGGCTGAGCGGAAATGTCGGATGTAAAGCATGTAAGGGTGGAATGAAAACGTTTTATGCTTCCACCAACCACAGGACGCACCGCATATTTTTATGGGTGCCTCAAGCTCAAGAAGATTGGGTTGTTGCAAGAAGATGTCCCGGGACGTCGTGCAGAGACTTCGAATCTCTGCTTCTGTCAGCTGCACCTGCTTGCCCGGCCTGCCGTTCCTAACGTCTAGGAGACGAGCAATAATGTCATCCAATGTTGCGTCGTCCATGACGAATAGCGCTTAGTTGGAACCGGCGGTACACACGCTAATGTAAGAAGGGGCAGCGTTGGTATAAACGATACGCTTACGCACAACGCTGTCTCTGGGGTAACCTTCTGACGCAAGTGACGAACGAAAGGATTAGCACAGACGGACGCAACAACACGTTAAAACTTCTAACAACTTTCGCGGCCAACTGAACTCCTTAGTAAAGGTCTGCTTTGCAAGGATTAGGGCAGTCGAGAAACGTCTACGGGAACAGAAGGCTCTCCTGCTTCCTCGGCGAGTGGATAGGAAGCAGTGCAGGAGACTCTCGACTACTAGGAGTTTTTCCCGCTAAAGTGACACCAAACTCTGTAGGGCCTTCAAATCTCGCCTTCGAGGCGGGAAAGGGCTGAAGTTGCAGCCGAGCGATTTGCTATGAGCCCATCGGAGACAACAGGCTTGACTGGGGGATATGATGGGGCGGAGGAAGGACGTGATGGATGGGTGTGCCCGTGACCGTGAGAACAGGGACGAAATGATGGATGCGATGAGATTGAAGCAAGCAGAGCAGCAGAGTGAGGGCGAGATGAGTTCGTGAGGGGGTGAATTCATGCTGGTTGCTGCCTGACCTGATGCTGCTGCTAGCTGGTCCTTGAGCTGACCTTACAAAACAAACGAGGTTGAAACCCTAACCTGTCAGTCTGGGAGTGACTGCACCAAGGTATAAGAACCAAAAACAAGTATAAGGCGATCCTTCATAGGATTGATAGTTGAAGTGAACTTGATCATTATTTTTTTGGAAAGTGTGAATTCTAACGGGAATTAATATTTTGAATAATATATGCGTGATTAAAAACTATTGATTCTATGCATCATTTGTTATGTTTTTCGTTGGATTGTACTAGTGTATAACCTCCTGGATGAATGCAGACTTTACTGTAGTTAATTCACATTCATCCGCAGGAATCTCCTTCCCCAAGCGATATCTGTTTCCCCACCACAGCCACCTTACCATTCTGCTTGCTTTCTCCACCATGGCTCTTCGTCAAGCAGCCCGTCGCGGCGCCACAATCGCCTACCGCTCTCACCATGTACCCTCCCTCCCGCTCATCAACAACCCACGTAACTTTGCCTCCGTTTCCAACCTTCCATCCTCATCCGCTTTCTCCACTTTCCCCACTGTTGCTACCTCTTCACCTCTTTCACGACCATCCCTGCCGACTCTATCACCACCCGCCGTCACGGTTGTCTCAGCCGCGCCTTCGCGAGGCGTCTTCGCTGCTTCGCGTCTCACCGCGAGCGTCCGAAGCTTTGGTGCGTTTGGAGGAGAGAAAGCCTGCATAGAATTGCATGGGATCCCATGGGACCGCATAGGATCGCATGGGATCTCCTGGAACCGCGTAGGATCGCATGGGATCTCATGATATTTCTGGCGTGATGGGGACGTTGTGCGATTTTTGTCCGTTTCTAACTTTCTCGTTGACTGGTTCGCGTTGCAGGCACTCATGACTCCGCTTTGCTTCCTCTCCTCCCATCCCCCTCCCCCGCTCCCCTCCCCTACTCCGCCCCGCAACCTTCTCCTTCCTCCTCTCTTCACCGATTTGGCGTCTTTCTTGCCGTGCAGCTTCAGCCGCTGGCAGCACGGAAACTAAAGTCATCACCATCGCATCGCCCAGCGAGTTCACGTCTCTAATCAATGGTAATGGACGTTGGTATGCTGCTGGTAACCTTGGTTGTTAGTGGTGGAGAGTCTTGTGGCAAGGTTGATGATGAGAAGAGGCTGAACTGGGTGGGTCTGGCTGTGAGCCCTGCTGCCTGTCGTGTGTTTGGTTCCACAATCATGCTAGCTCATCAGCATGTAATAGAAGCAGTTATCTCTGACGTTTCAACAAAAGTTTAGCGTCCTTGCACCAAGAATTTTCTTCCTTCTCCCTTGCTTGACTCATGCGTGCATGAGGATGTGCATGTGCATGGGCGTGCGTTCCATGTGTGTGAGTGTGTCTCCCACACATGAGTGCATGTGTGTGTTTTTGTGTGTGCGTGCGAGCGTGCGTGCGAGCGTGCGTGTGTGTGTGTGTGTGTGTGTGTGCGTGCGTGTGTGTGTGTGTGTGCGCGCGCGCGCGTGCGCGCGTGTGTGCGTGTGTGTGCATGCATGCACATCAGACCCATCGCGACTAGTGGTCGTTGACTTCACAGCACAATGGTGTGGTCCATGTAAGTTCTCTTCACTCCACGTCACCATAAGAGATGTTTCAAGGCATTCTCATAGACGAACCTCACTACAGACTGAATCGTACAATGCTTAGTATGCACAAATTCAGGGCATTTAGTCTCCCACCTCCTCAGCCCTTCTTTTGACAAATACGGACTTCGGGCTCTGATTGGAAGACTGCCTGGTTTGAAAAGGCACTCATCTCTCCACTGCCCTCGCTGCCGTTCCTTTCTGCCGGGCAGGCAGAAGCATCGCGCCGCTGTTGGATGAGATCAGCCGAACCCACGAATCTGTCGCCATTGCCAAGGTCGACATTGATGATGTGAGTGCCCTCATGCATTGCCTCTGTCCCCACCCTCTCACCTTTCTGACCCTCCCTACGATCCTGGTATTCATTCTCCCCAACCACCACCCTCTCTTGGTCTTTTCTGTGTGCTCTCACTGTCACGCATTTCCATGCCATCGTGACCGCGCAAATCGTGGCCTGGTCTAAATTCCTTCTTTATCCCCCTCCCCCAACAGGCTGAACTGGCAGGCGTGGTCGGAACTGCCAGGATCAGCAGTGTGGTGAGCTCTCTTGCAATTGTTGATCAGTGTTTTCCCTCAGCACCACGGTGCACCACTGTGTTGAATAATAATATAGTCAGCAGCGTTTCCGCTCACACTTGCGGGCCTCCGTTTTTTTCCTGGTGTTTGCTCTTCCGCCTGACTCTGTCCTGTTGTCACTTGCATCTCTCCTGCAGCCTACCTTTCATTTCTACAAGGCGGGGAAGCTGTTGAGCCAGTTCAGTGGAGCAGATGCACTCAAGCTGAAAGACACCATTGCATTGCTCCAAAAATAAGAGGCTTATGTATGCAAGTGGATTTGAAATTATTTGTACTGCAATTGCACTTGGTTTAAGTGAACATTGTTGCTTCGTTACCAGCACAGAGCAGAAGTCGTCACCTCATGCTTCACAGAATCAATTGTAGTCACATTCCATACCACGCCCCCCCTTCCAGTGCTCTTGGAACAAGCAAGAGGAGAGCTTGAAACTCATAATAAAGTCACTAAGGACAACCAAAGCGAAGCAAATGCTCGAATCACCTTCACGGTGCTAGTATAAGAAATTCACTGCAATCACTTTCGTCTATGAAGCTGGAATCGGCCTGACAGGAGCTTGAGCATCTGCGAGCGCTGCAGCAAACATCTCCGGGCCACCCACTTCGTCATAGTACTCTGCCCACACGCCTCTGTTCTTCTTGGGATCGATCCTCCTAAGAGCCTGCCACACCGCACTCTGGCACTTGAATCCGGACCCAAACGCGATCTGCCAGACGCGGTCGCCACGGCGGACGCGACCCTGTGCTTCTGCGTAGGAGAGCTCGTACCAGATGGACGATGAGGATGTGTTGCCGAACCTGTAAAGAGCCATGCGGGACGGCTCGGTCTGGTAGTTGGTAAGATCAAGGTTCTTCTCAAGCTCGTCGATAACAGCCCGTCCACCGGCATGGATGCAGAAATGCTCAAATGCCAGCTTGAAGTCCGGCACATAGGGCTTCATCTTCACGCCAAAGACCTTGCGCGCGATCAGAACCGCGGCGAATAAGAGCTGCTCGGACAACGGCAGGACGAGCGGGCCCAGCGTAGTGATGTTGGTGCGGAGCGACTCCCCAGCCACGTTCATGAGGTCCTTGGAGAGAGCGACGCCCACCACCCCGTTATCGTCCTCCTCCTGGAACACACAGCCGTAGCTCTTGTCGTCCCGGCCCATGTGCGTGCGCACCACGTGCTTCAGCTCGTACTTGGCGCGGCGGCGCTCGCTGCTCTTGTTGGTGAGCAGCATGGCGGCTCCTCCCAGGCGGAAGAGGCAGTTGGAGACTTGCATGGAGCGGCGTGTGCCGAGGTAGATATTCTGGGAGATGTTCTCGGTAGATACGACAACTGCGTACGTGTTGGGGGTCACCTGAGGAACAAGGAGTGTAAACAGGGAAAAAGTAGGAGAAAGCCTAGTTGAAACGAACAACACCTCCGAAAATAACTACGTTGCTCAAAGGTGTGGTGATTTGCGTGATGCTCTTAGCCTGTCTGATTGGTGTCTGTCGAGTTTCACTGGTAGTGAGTTTTTACAAGTTCGCATCTCTATGTTATTACACAGCTCATGTTGTTCATTTCACGCATTTGGAAATTCATCAACTCTCACCTGGAGCAAATCCTGAGCGAGCTTGATGGCAATAAGACCCGCGCTGCAGCCCATACCGCCGAGGTTGTACGACTGGATGTCGTTGCGCATGCCGTACTTGTTCACCACCATCGCGGACAGCGACGGAGTCGGGCAGAAAATGCTGCAGTTCACCACCAGAATGCTGATATCCTTCGGTTTAAGGCCGGTCTTTTCAAACAGCGCATCAAGACTGCCAAAAATGACCATCTCCGCTTCGTTCCGAGCTGCCGCCAGGCTCGGGGTGATCGGGAAGGTCCTTAGGCATTTCGGAAGATAAGTCCGATCTCCGAGACCGGATCGCTCGACGACCTTGGTCTGAAACTCGACGCTCTTGTCGTCGAAGGTCGGAGTGCGGCGAGCGAAGTCGAGTCCCTCGGCGCGAGTCATGGCGAGCTCTTCCGAAGGCCGAAAGCAGGCGTAGTCGACGAGCAGAATACGCGTGCGTCTGGTGGCGAAGTACAAGGCGGCGGCGAGGAGGATGATGTTAAGGGCGACGAAGACAGGAACGGCATTGTGGTGCAGAAATTCCCAAAGCGTCTGTACGTCGTCGGGTGTCATGCGAGCCACGCGAAGGGCAAGCGCTGCCAGTATAGGAAGCAGGATTACAGGCCCACTGTTAGACACGATGAAATGGTACGCGAGCTTCAGCTTGCGACTGCTTGAATCTGATTTCCCGTTGGCCTCGGCATGTTCGCTCTCGGAACCCATGGTGAGCAAACGGTACAAGAAAAAAGTGGCCTATGCTTTGGTACAACAGCAGATCTTAAATCATTAGCAGCACTACGCGGGAGATGCCAAGCTCTGAAACCCAACTTGGAAACTCTAAGGCTTTGAGAGAGGATGGTAGCTTATGTCAACCATAGAGCTTGCTTGGGTTGTTTGTTGAAAATCGTGTGTTTGGCATTCAGGTCGAACGATGGGAGGGAGTTGTTCCTTGGGGGCACGGTTTTGGATTCTGGTTTGGTGTGAGGCCTGGTGGTCGGGAAGGAGGCTTGTTCTGGCGGGGGATGCCTCGGGAAATAGGTACGGGAAAAGTGCAACGGCTACAGTTCGACGACATGGCAGTAGCGTGGCACCAAGTGATTCGTACATGCCTCAACCACGAAACACGAAGCGAACCCTTTCGGAGATGGAGAGAACGGTTTCGGCCAACTTCATTGATACTCAAATTATGCCAGAGACGTTTCGCGTCGGTACGCAACCTCGATTTCTCATCGCTGATTGGTGCTTGCTTTTCAATCACACTTTTCACGCTAAAAACACCCCCCAGATGTAACAGAAACAGAACGCATTTACCGAACTCAAATATACACTATTGTGTCGAGGTGCTACCTTAGAATAGACAAAAATACATTGAATACTCAACCCATTTAAATTTTATCAAGCGCGAATTGCGTAAATATTTAAAAATACCCCATTGGAAAAATGATGCAGACTGGGAATAACTCAACGGATTAGGGTTGACGGCACCATTAACCCTCCGTCGACCGTGGACCTGCTGGCCTCGTACGGAAGAAAATTAAAACCCCCTGGGATAACATCAATTCTAAACATCATGCGACAAGATGTTTAGGATTAATGCCATTCTGATTGGATGCCTTTTAGCAAAAGGGTTATTTTTAATTGCCCGCGGGTAGCAGGCTACGTTGGGCTTCCCGTTTTTTAGGTTAATATTTCCGAATTCCGTCCTGGTTATCCAAGCGTTTTAGTATGCTTCCTTTTTTGTTGGGTATGTGCGGAGCTGCTGGTGGCGTCATTGCTTCAGGATTGTGCTTATACATTATATATTCGTATTTTCAGCTACTATACTGCAAAATTGTTGGTTCATTACTTTCGCAAACCGCTTCTGGCATAATTTGAGTATCAATGAAGTTGGCCGGAACGGTTTCGGTAGGTGTCTCGCCACAGGTTTCACGTGGCTGGCAGAGTGGTTTGGGTGTGACAAGAGTGGCTGGCAGGTCTGGTCTGGTCTGACACCTTCGTCAGACCCGCTGAATTTGTCGTCTCACCACTGGTTTCAGATCTAGGCGGTGCCCAGACTCGAGGCGTATAAAACTCAATCTGGTTCGGGAGTGAACACATTACTGGACATGCCGAATTCCTTACAAACGTTTCCATTCAACATTAACTTCTCATCTCTTAAAACTGATAGTAGTGAAAAAGCACCTTCGATTCCGGTCTCCAGAAAATATTAGTGTATTGATTGATGCATACTTCAGACCTATGCAGCGATTTTTTTATCTGCAATAGATTGGATTGACACGAGATGAATTGCTAATAAAATGTCTTCCTATCAGGGATGCCAAGTTCTGCCTTCTACAGCTAAGAACACACCATGCCATTCTACATAAGAGACGGATGTGGACTGGAGCCGGATTAGATGGTGTGATGCACCACCAGTCGGAGGATGAACACCTAGTATGGCCCGGGGGAGAGACCTTGACGCTTACGGTTTAAGGGGCCTAATTGGGGCCAACGTATCAGCTACAGCAGCCGCATGCATCTCCTCCCCACGAGCACTTTCGTAATACTCTGCCCACACGCCTCTGTTCTTTCTGGGATCAATCGGCCTAAGAGCCTGCCACACCGCACTCTGGCACTTGAATCCGGACCCAAACGCGATCTGCCAGACGCGGTCACCACGGCGGACACGACCCTGTGCTTCCGAGTAGGAGAGCTCGTACCAGATGGACGATGAGGATGTGTTGCCGAACCGGTACAGAGCCATACGCGATGGCTCGACGTGGTACTGTGTCAACTCCAGGTTCTTCTCGATCTCGTCAATGACAGCGCGACCACCAGCGTGGATGCAGAAATGCTCAAATGCCAGCTTGAAGTCCGGCACATAGGGCTTCATCTTCATGCCAAAGACCTTACGCGCGATGAGAACTGCGGCGAAAAGCAGCTGCTCCGAAAGCGGCAAAACAAGCGGACCCAGCGTCGTGATGTTGGTGCGCAGAGCCTCGCCAGCCACGTTCATGAGGTCGCGTGAAAGGGCGACTCCGACTATCTTGTTGTCGTCCTCCTCCTGGAACACACAGCCGTAGCTCTTGTCGTCTTTGCCCAAATGGGTACGCACCACATGTTTCAGCTCGTATTTGGCGCGGTAACGCTCGCTGCTCTTGTTGGTGAGGAGCATGGCTGCTCCACCAACTCGGAACAGGCAGTTGGACACTTGCATAGAGCGACGGTTTCCGAGGTACAAGTTCAGAGAGATGTTCTCCGTTGACACAACGATCGCGTATGTGTTGGGAATCACCTGCACGTCAAGGAGCACAGGTATAACGTTTAGAGATATGTCCGGGTTGCAAAAAACATGTTACCATTCTCTTGGATTGAAAAGAAGAGAAAGTTGAGCGACAGGGAGTAGTAACCAGAGGTTGATATACGAGGCTTTGGTTTTTTACATATCAAAAATAATTTACCTGAAGCAGTTCCCGAGCAAGTTTGATGGCGATAAGGCCAGCACTGCAGCCCATACCGCCGAGGTTGTACGACTGGATGTCGTTGCGCATGCCGTACTTGTTCACAACCATGGCGGACAGCGACGGAGTCGGGCAGAAGACGCTGCAGTTCACCACCAGGATGCCAACGTCTTTCGGTTTGATGCCAGTCTTGGCAAACAAGTCATCCAGGCACCCGAAAATAACCATTTGAGCTTCATGACGAGCCTCGGACACGCATGGCTCAATGGGAAGCTTGCGAAGACAACGAGGTAAATGGGTACGGTCGCCAAGGCCGGAACGTTCAGCAACCTTGGCCTGAAAATCCAGGCTCTTCTCATCAAAACATCCCATTTCACGGGCAAAATCGACACAGTTCTTTTGCGTAATGGCGAGCTCCTCGGGAGGCATAAAACAAGAGAAGTCCACGAGCAGAACATCCTTACGGCGAGTGAAGAGGTACAGCGCAGTAACAAACAGAATCAACGTCGATCCAGCAGCGACCGCAATTAAATTTGCGTTAAGAAAATCCGCGATCATTTGTGAGTCTTCGGCAGTGAAGCGGTTCACGCGAAGAATAACAGCAGCCAACAAAGGAATCAGCATGAGCGGTCCACCATGTGAAATCATGTAGTGGAACCCGAGCTTCATGTGGCGAAGGTTGGATGCACGCTGTGTAGAAGCCTGAGACGGTTTTGCCGACCCATTATCCCGTGAGTGGTCCGAGGAAAGCATTTCCGCAGAAGCCATAGTGCTAGTGCCTCCTTCAAGCTACTGATCCTGACAATGATAAAATCAATCTGCAGAACAAGACCCCAAACTATATGGAACAGCAAGATGAAGGCAAGGAACCCTCAGGGCAGTGGAGATTTCGGTGAAGGGATTGCCGGGGGATCCGTCTTCCTCCAATTCCTCCCATTTCCCGCTCTTTTCTTTGGTTGCTGTGGTTCCCCGTCGCGCATCCAGCGCAAAAACTCTGTCAGCGAACTTCCACCGCTCGATTCCATTGTAGAACCATGGCACTAGCTTCGGCACAAGCCTTTTGATTCGGTCCGATTGGCTGTCAGAAAGAACCGATCACCGCTTTGACCAATCTCACCCAGCTTTTCGTGGTACTCTGACTGGTTCGGCTCCTAGGCTTGGCGGGATAGGGCTTGCCCAGCCTACCGGAACAGGTGATCGCCGTGCCCTCGAGGACATTTTGAGCACAAGCCCTTTGAAACGAACATTTCGACCATCCGTCTCGAGCAGGCCCCATCCGGGAGCACTGTCACCGAATTGTGCCCCCTTCCAGTGGTGACGTCATTCGTACATTTTTGTAAGCGAAGGAAATTGCAGAGAATAGTACTGCGTAACCATGCTGTTAAGGGGGGATTTACTGTTCCTTTTGAACAGTAATTTCCCAACCCAACCAACTCATCCTCATCTTATCTTTCTAGATTTCCTAGTGCCACGTGGCACTCTACTTTCTTTGCCTCACAATTCCTAGTCCCACAGAGTACTTTCTGTAAGGAAAATTCCTTTTCCTTACTTCGCATCCCTGCTCAACGCGTACATCACTGTAGCACCACAGTCAGCACCGTTACCACTCACAACCCTCGCATCGACAATCCGCCCGCCACCTTCGCACATCACACCCCGACCTCACGGCTCGGCGGGTAACCCGCGCTCCGGGCCTCCGCTTCGACACTTTTCCCAACCTCAGTCCCAGACCCGTCGCGCGACAATCACAGTCCATTACCGTTACCACTGTAGTTTCGCTATATATTCTTCGCTCATGCCTTCGCTCATTGTACTCTTGCTTCGATAGTGCAATTCTCGTTCGTTCACTCAATTGCACTCGTAACACTTGGTATTCAGAGCCTACGATCTCTTCTCGGACCGCACCCACACCTTCGCTTCCCCACTATCTCAAATTTTGGGGGGGGGTAGACGTCTCTCAGCGACACAGCACCGCCGCTCGTAGTGCTCTCTCGTAAGCACGCACGGCCACGACCGAGGCTCTCGCTGAGCTCGCCCGACACCCCCGCCATGGCCGAATTCACGCTCGCCACATTGACGCAGGAGCAGCTCGACCGTCTGGTGCGCCAACTTGAAGATTCGGCGCTCGAAATTGCGACGCTCACGGCGGAACGTGACTCCGCGCGTCAGCAATCAACGATGAACACCCCAGCGCCACCACACGCACCGACAAATGCATCTGCACAATCGGACGAGCCGATCGTCATCTCGTCCGGCACACCAACACAAAACAACAGCGTGGGACAGCGCTCAGGCGCAGCCAGCGATGGCGCCGCCCAGCTGATGCCTGGCATGGGAGGAAACTGTGAAAGTTTAAAAGGAAGAAGAGGAGGGTTGCACTAGCAAGAATGAGGATACAAATAGCAAACCCTAGAAGGGTTGTACTCGCTATAGAGCACCCCACTACAGGCTAGAGCATAATATTCTGACACACCCCCATAGCCAAAGTGGGGTGTAATCAGCAGAGCAAGCAAAGCAGTACAAGCTCAGGGTGGATCACAATGTCACCACACATTCTGAGCACAAGTTCAAGAAGCAATAGTTTAAAGTTCACAATTATGAGCAAAGCTAGTGGTAGTCACAACGGGCAAGTGAGGAGGAGGAAAGAGACTATGAGAGGAGAGGAGGTAGTGGGCGGCAGCTGAAGCTGCTGGCACACGGCGCAACTGGAGCAACTGGCACACGGGCAACTGGAGCAACTGGCACACGGGCTACTGGAGTAACTGGCTCCGCGGCTAAAAGTAGCGGCAGACGAGCAACGGACTCACGGGCGACTGGAGCAACGGGCTCACGGGCGACTGGCGCAACGGGCTCACATGCGACTGGCGCAACGGTCTCACGGGCGACTGGAGCTGCTGGCTTCACGGCGGCCACCCCCTTCAACCTCCCCAAACTATCCCACTCCCCCTGACACACACCCGCTGCTACACCGCTAGCTCCACTCCCCCTTCACCCCCCCTTAGTACCACTCCAATGGCTCCAACAAGTCCACCCCCCCTCAGCGGCAGCTGCAGCACAGGGAGACGGAGGAGGAGGAGGAGGAGCAGGGAACGGCACACAGTGGCTTCACCCCCATACCCCTCACCCCCAAACCCTAATTCAGGAGAACGGGCTGTAGGAGGGGTGGGGCGCCAGTAGAAGCACGGGGGACAGCGGGGAGGGCAGGGGCAGCGAGGAAAGGGCCGCCCACGGGCCTGGCACAGCCGCCCGAACCGCGCGCAGGCGGCCCGAGCCGCGCGCGGGCCTGGCGCAGCCCGTACGGGCCGCGCGCGGGCCTGGCGCAGCCCGTACGGGCCGCGCGCTGGCCTGGCGCAGCCCGTACGGGCCGCGTCCGGGCCTGGCGCAGCCCTTACGGGCCGCGCGCAGCCTGTACAGGCCGCGCGCAGGCCACGACGGGCGACAGGGGGCGACGCGCGGGTCCCCGTCGCCCGTCGCAGCGCCTCCCGAGGGCGACGCGCCGAGTGACGGGGCAGAAGCCCGCCGCGCGCCTCGGGGCGCACAGCGGGCAGAGAACCGCCGCGCGCCACGGGGCGCACGGCGGGAAGAAAAAACTGCCGCACGCCACGGGGCGTGCGGCACAGAGGGTAGCAGTGGAAGTTGCAGCGGAAGCAACGAGGTGGTGAGCCCACCCACAGGATCGATCCAAGGGGATCGACCTGCTCTGATAGCATGTGAAAGTTTAAAAGGAAGAAGAGGAGGGTTGCACTAGCAAGAATGAGGATACAAATAGCAAACCCTAGAAGGGTTGTACTCGCTATAGAGCACCCCACTACAGGCTAGAGCATAATATTCTGACAGAAACAAGGTCGCACCAAGCCCGCAGGAGCCTCGCGAAGCCCGTCGGCACGTGGAGTTCGCGGCGACAAGTGGCGAACAGGCCATTATGGCACCAATGCCACTCAAGCCGCAACGCCCGCCCTGCTTCGACCCGAGCCAGCGTGGAGGTCCGACGGTTCAATCGTGGGTCTTCACGATGAACGTCTTCTTCGACGCGAATTACGTCGAGTCGGACGCAACGAAGATTCGGTATGCTGTTTCGCTGCTAAGGGGCCCTGCCATGGACTCGTGGCGAGTCATCGTGACGTCGCCACGCGCCTACGAGCCACCGTCGCAAGAGGAAGGGCCCACGGGCCCAGCTGTCACCTGGAGTTCATTCTGCGAGACCGCCCAATACAGCACGTGGGATGCGTGGTGCGCAGGGCTTCGGGCGCGCTTCGAGCCGATCGCGGCTTCTATTTCGGCGCGTCAGAGATTGCGCACTTGGCGGCAACTTGGATCGGTTCAAGACTATACGAGTGGTTTTCTTGCATTATGCGAGCAAGTCGGCTACATGCACGAAGCGGAGCGGGTGGACCGTTACGTCGGAGGGCTGAAGCCGGACATCTCGCACGAAATCATGCTACGCGGGCTCTCGAACTTCAACGAGATTCTCGCGCTCGCCGAGAAAATCGACATCTTACGCCGTCCGAGACCGGGGTCCTACTATGGACATCGTCCTCGGGGACCGATCGAGCACGCCACTGTACACGCTGTTGCGACGAATGCAGCTGCCGCGCCGTTTAAGGGGCGCTGTTTTGCTTGCAACAGGCCGGGCCATCGCAAGAGCGAATGCCCAGAGGAGCTAAGGCGCCGCGGAGCAGAGCAGGGGAGGGAGTCTCCAAAGCAGGGAAACGCCAGCAGTCAGTAGGAATCGGGCCAACTACTGACGAGACTGCCTGCTCGCCCAACCCCACCGACCCTCACCGAGTCACAATACCGATTCATGTTATCGATCGGACTCGGACGAATAAGGAGGGTACAGCGACGGATTGCCCAGTACTGATCCACGGGAAAATACAGGGAGCAGCAGTGAAGATTTTTTATCGACGGAGGAGCAAGCCACAGTTGAGTTAATACCACAACCGCACGAAAACTGCAGCTAACACTTAGCCGTTGCTTACCGGAGATAGACGCACGCTTAGTCGACGGCACGCCACTGGCCATACGGGAAAAGGTAGAGAGAGTCAAAGTCCACTGCGGGGGAAATTTCGGGTTTACACAGGAAATGCTCGCAACGACACTGGATGGGCACGATATTCTACTGGGACGTGATTGGCTGTGACGGTATAACCCGCGAATTGACTGGACGACGGGTTGCTGCACCGTGCGAAGTAGTGGTAACTGGGTCGAGTTACCTCGCTGGCAGTCGC